TGAATCGTCGCAGAGAAGAGCGGTTGTGCGGCACAGTGCACGGATTGGCAATGCTATGGCAGTTCAATGCCGCTTCAACTCGGAGTTGAGTCCCCTCAGCATGGTCCGTGACTTCCGTGCTGTGCGGGTGCGCCAAGAAGTAATCTTGATCGTGCCATGAGTCTCTTAGTCGAAGAGGCGCACTTGGCTACAGCTGCGCACTGTAGACCGTGGTGTGCCATGAAGCACTTGGAAAGATCACATCTTGGTTTCCTAAAAGTGGCCATCAAATCTGTAGTGAGCGAGGTAGATTCAATTGCTCAACAGGGTGAACCAGTCTCTACGTGGATATCTCAGCAGCGCAACAAGAGAAGACGCTTCGGATCATGCGCTCCGGTATACAGAAGCTGTAGCAGGTTTAGTTGAAGGAAACTTGATTGAGCTGCTGCTGAGAAACAGCAATGATGGGCATACATCAAAGTGGATATGCTAAATGATAACGATCTGCCAGTAGGATAGTCATCTTGTGTTCGTTCAACGCAGCGTATGGATATATTCCCTGGGATAACTCTAAGACGTGTGTGGCGATATCGGAAGCTCCCCCAGTCTGACGATGGAATTAAGCGGCAGGAGCATAATTCGTAGCGAAGCGGCAAAGTGCAGGAATCAGCCAGCGCCTTTTGGGCTTAACCCGGTGTTGGTCCTCAGATTAATTGGGAGGTGGCGTATGTGGATTGAATGCGATCCCCTTAACTAGATTGTTGCCTATGCCCCACGTTGGCGAAATAGGAGACAAACCTCACGAGCCATTAGTCAGCTTGACATGTAATTTCACAGACGGTCTCTTAGAAGTCCCCATTCACCCTGACCACAAGCAAAAAAAGACGTTACATCCTTGTACTTCGAAAAACTCGAATATACCTGTATCCGCTTGGACTGGCTAATGCCCATGCTGAACTACAATAGATAGCTAACGCAGAATTCCATGAGCCCATCAGGGGTAGCTGTATGGACGTAACGGACGAAGTGTCAGCCTGCGAACGAAATGCTTAAGAAGACCTACAGTATTTACGGCATGCGATACACATGTTGCGGAACAAACAGTAATATATGGGGGCGTACAGGGGCGTGGTTTTACCATGACAATTGTGTTTCTAGGATTCTGTGTTTCCGCGGGAGGAAATGAGCGAGGACCCAAGCCATATGTCACACCAAGGCGTGGCCTTTCCAGTTGAACAACTACATGAACGGTAAAACCTGTCTTAGCTTGCACCTTATGACCATAGTTTCAGTCCTGGATTTGCTTGGCTCGCTGCTTCTTTGCTTGGTCCACTCAAGAAAAACTAGTCTGTGACCTGAGCAGAGGAGGCAAATGCCGCAGCAAGGACGCTTTTCGGTCGCCTTACCACTCCGCTGGTACTTCCGCTACCAGACGTTAATCGTCATTTCTTCTTATAAGCCCAATGTTAGTGATGAGTTGATGCGTGTTGCTCACTTACATCCAGCTACGGGCTACCCAAACGCCAAATTCTTGCTTGTTACTTCCATCGCATCACCGGAAAACGATAAGTGGTTACTACTGCAGGGAAGGAAAACTTTATGCGATGTGATTGGCACACAGCCAGCTACTTGAATCATCAGTCATTGCTGTGCGTTACGAAGAGATTCTAGAACCTCTATAATACTAAAGTTGTATCCTGGCTTAGGCGGCTCCTGCAGCACGACATTATGGTGAAGTACTGTTAGGAACTTATCATAATGGTCTTCGATATGTCCTCGCGATGGCCTGAAGGATCAGTATTGTGCAGCACAGCCGCTTTTGTCTGTAATGATTCACGGATCTAATCGAACTTGCCGTGGCCATATGCCTTCGACACCCACCACTAACACTTTTCCCCAAAACTTACAATGGCATAAACGTGGGACTTTTTTCGAGTCCCTTCTCACAGACACTTTATTTAAGTACCTCGCCATCCAATAAACATGATGCAACGAGAGCTCGTATTTTTTTACTTAGAGGGTTTAAAGCGAGCTACGCCCCCGTCTGGCTGATAAAAGCTTGGGAATACGTTTCCATATTGATGGTAAATTTCCTTTTCTGTTTATCGTAGCTCATTCACACAGAGTTCCCGTATTTAAGTGCCTTCGCTCTCAGGGTTCCAGCATGAGAAAAGAGGGACTGCTAGGGTGAGCACTCCTGCACTCCCCAAGCAAACAGTACTCAGAGCTGGTCGCACAGCGCGTACGCGCACAGCAGTGATTTTTATTATATTGAGGCAACAGTATGCTGCAGATCGGATAGCAGTACGAAGCAATCAATTGGCTTCCAGTTCGTGTTCAAATATAATCAATCTAATAGAAGCTCTCTAAGTGTATCTTTGCCCGCAGGACTGTCAGGGTAGCATAAGCATCAGATCATGCGGTTTTGGCACTTATAACACCTGTGTCCCTCTATCCATTAGATGATCCATATCCAGTAAACCACGTAGTGCTTTAAAGTGAAATTGATGTAATGTCACCGCCACTGAAAGCTCTTGCTGGCTCTTGCGAATAACACGTAGGTGCGTGTGTTCAAAGGAAAAGAGAACAACCGCTGTAACACTCGACGCACCCCTGCCGCATACGCATCGACCAAAGGCCGTGTAAAGAGTTACCCATTTATAGCTTCTTCCAAGGTCTCCCTACGGTGCAGCGTGCCAAGTAACACCACAACTGTTGCTTCCGCAACACCACATATTTAACTACGAATTTGTAGAGAATGTACTCAGTGGTTTGTCTGTCCAGATATCTCATTTATTACACGCTACCGTTAGCGTGATAAAAGAAGGCGTGTTGTCGCGCGTTAGTTGCTGAGTTCAGCCGGCTTTGAACTCTCTAAGTCTACTGAGGGTGCAAGTACTCGCACCTTAGCTGGCCATCTCCCCTCGAGTGGGGAGCACTAAAGGGCAGGGGCACTTAAAGAATGTGTTTTCTTTGGAAGGACCCTTGATATTTTTTTGTTGACCTGTATATTAAGTCTAAAGCTAAGTGCCTCCCTATTGATGGCTCAGATGGAGTGTCACAACTACTCCGAAGCCCAAATCAAAACTTCAGAAAGCTGTGACCCGTCATTTTCTATTATATCACCCCTTCCCACGCCCTCAACCAGCAGGATTTTAGTTTAAGGAGCGAATTGATGGACAGGGTGCGCAGGGGTGCGCCCTCGACGCAATAGCGCATAGTAGCCGATTGCACTTTGTAGTGTATTTCACGTGCAAACGGTGTCCACTCTAATTGTAGGTAACCAGCCCTATTGTGCAACAAATTGAGCATGGACACAGCCACACTAATCAGTCAGTGCTTGATTAGGTCTGAAATGCATACTTTTGTAACTTGTGTCGGTGAACTGATATAAGAGCGGAGTGGGCCGCTACTCATGCTGTCTTGAACCCCGGTGCACATTCGCCTGGAACGTTGAAATAGCCGGATAGACAGAAATATAACAGCAAAGATCTTTATTCTAGGCTCAAATGCCTTTGGTGGGCTGGGTGAATACTACGGAACCTGTCTTGTAAGGGCAGTGGGCCTCATGCGCAGTGCTGTGTGGGGGGTAAGTGTCATGCGGGGGAGAGAAGCATTTGATGTCTACCTTTGCTTTGTCTGTGCACATGTACATAGACCCCTATAATAATTGAAGCGCATTAGATGGGACCGAAATTGAAAAGATTTCCCCCACAGGAGTATAAGATACGCGTGGGGTGTGTCCCCGCCCCATTCGGGTGGACCCTGGAAAAGGTTTGACTTGAAAAGCTGGGTCTGATAAGGCAAACCTTAACATAAAGGGCTTTAACGGTTTTTTGATGCCTTATTCGTACCTCAGATATCCGAGTTTTGGTATTAAGATTCAGCAGTGAGCGTCCTCAGGGGTATGGATGGCACCGCTCTCAGCGGTGCCTACTGCACTGCACCCCCGGTTGCAGCCCTACTGCTGCTGTTATCGTTGCGTGTCGCCTCTCCCTTCTCTTCTTGTTTTTCTTCCCGTCAGCCGTTGCTGTAGTAGAGGGGATCCCCTGCCCCCTCTGCCCAGGATTATCTGTTTATGCAGCAGGCCTTTGTTGCCCCTTGTATGGGGCAGGGGGAGACTCCCTGCTACGGCGGAGACCTTATCGTTTGCTGCCTTGTTGCTAAACTCTTCACACGGGCCACATGGATAATTAATGCCCATCTAATGTGGGAGGGACGCAGTTGTTCTGCTGTCTCCTACTCTCCCCGTCTAGCTGCCCATCTCCCGCCCCTCGTGAGGCCCTTCTCAGTCCCTTCAGCGCCCATCCCCGAAGCGAACGGCTAAGAGCTCTGTCGTCTCTTCTCTCGCGACTAGGGGCCCTTCCGTCCTCTGTGGGACCCTCTGCTCCACGCCGAAGGCCTCCACAGTTCCCTAATATTTTCTTTTGGGGTTGACTCTGCTTGTGCATCAATGATTTCTTATGGAGGATGCAACACCCTCTGTCTGCCCGTTTTTTGAATTCCGTTGATTTAGCTGCCGCCGCAGTCCCAGAGGGATAACTTGAGAGGGTTGGCAGGTGCACAGACACCCCGTCGCACAGAAAGAGAGCGAGCTTTAGGACAGGAAGAGAGGAATCAGCGCTCTTCTTGGCTCTATGCGTATATAGAAAACGCCGCTCTCAGAGGTCCTTCCACCCCTTTCTTCCATCCTTGCAGCCGTTTGCTTCTTGTCATTTTGACTGAGGGCCCCCCTTTTACAGTACTTCCGCCCCGCGTGTCTAACGGAACCCCCATATAATCATAGCGCTCCGCAGACGAATCGCGCTGCACCCCGGATATTTTGCTCTAGTCTTTTTGTTTGTTCCCTTCCTCATTATTCTTCCCCTTTCTTTACTGTTTAAGCTAGGCCTAGGGAGCTTTCCACGAACCTCAACCCCCAGTTTGTTCTGACGTCGGGCCCTTTCATCGCCTTTATATGCGTCTTTGTGTCCCCTTTCGTAAGACCCCCGTTGTACCCTGTCTCGCCGATTCGCTGTAGGATGGTTGGTGGACAGTTGATGGAGCAGGAGGAAGCTCGGAGGCCCCCCAGCCACTCTGCTTCCTCGGCCGGGCGGCACAGGTGCCGTTTGCTAAGCGCCGACAGTTCAAACACCACAAAGGCCCTTGCAGCAAAGACTGCATCTTTCTCCGGCTTCCAAAGCGACACGTGCCTTTCTGTGGGACGCTATTCTCATGCAAGGCCTCCCGGAGCTTCTGCATCCTCCACGAAAGGCCGAGCGGTTCTGCCGGGTATCCTGGACGGTGGTATGCAAACCTCCGAAATGTTGGCGCTGCCCTCTGGAGAAGTGGGGCTGTGTCCTACCCGTAAGCGAAAGAGCCTGCCAGCAGCAGAGCCCTCCTTTTCTCACCTTGTGGACTACTGCCTCCCGCCCGCGCAGGGGTTGCTGCAGATTCGTTCGTCGGCTCCAGATGGCCACTGCGGCACAGAGGAGACGCAGCCTCTCAACGGAGAGGCTGGGGATGCAGCAATGGCTGCAAATAGCTCCAGTTCCCTCACCAGAACGGGAGAGCTCTCCACACCCCAGAAGACATGCAAAAGGGGTGGTTACAGGGCGTCCACGCAGCTGTTGCAGTTGCCACTTGCTGCCCTAAACAGCAGCAAGGGCCGCCGTCCACAGCTGCTGTCCCCCTCACTCTTAAGACTCATGGATGTAACGAACTCGCCCCTTTCCGTGATCTCACAGGCTAGCACCTGCGCCCTGCTCTCTTCTGCCTCGTCACTAGACAGTTGCAGCCAGCCCGCAACTCCGAATGCGGGCCTCTTGGATTCGGGAGCGTACTCTCCCCTTCCTCTTGCAGTTGCGCCAGTTGCCCACAAGGTGGCAGGACGACAGGATGCAGCAGCTGAAGTCTCGGGAGACGAAGGGAGTCGCGGCGCTCGTCTTGACCGGAGGGCTCGGTGTGATTACGAAGTGTATGTGTACGGAGCAGCGGAGGAACAGAATTCTAACACGGCTGCCGCTCTTGCCGGCCTCGCCCTAGCTGGAACGGCGCCAACAGTCGCGAAGGCTGGTGATGAGCCTTGCGTCACATCTACTCCCGTAATGCACACCACAAAAGAGGCGGCCCTCTCTGAGGAGAGCACCGTGGCGACTGCGTTCCTCTCGAGCCCGTCAACAACTGCCTCACTATCCCCTTTGAGACTACCCATCCCGGCTCGGGGGCTGCGGAGGCTTCAGCATCCACGACTGCAACAGGCCAAGTCGGCGCCAGCAGCAGAAGAACACGACGAGGGAGGCAACACAAACCCCCCTCGTTCGCTCCGCCGCCTGCAACTGCCGAGACTGAGGACTCCCTCAGCTCCTGGAGGGCCCAATCTGCACGAACTACGGGGGGGAAAGGACCTCAAGGGGGGCGGAATTGCAGGTCACAGTGGGCGGGGGGTGTTAGCTTCTTCAACTTCAGTAGCGGGTGCACTGGAGTCTTTGTACAGCCCAATTGAGGGATCTTTCGTGTCGCAGTGTGTTGGCTCCAAAGAGCGTGCCCCACGTTGTGCTGACTACAGCCATGAGTCTCCCAGTGTTTCCGGGGTTGCGAGAGGCGGCCTCCTAGAGGACGCCTTCGAGGCAGCGGCGCACGCAGCGCACGTGGCAGCACATGCAGCGGCCCGTGCTGCGGCTCATGCAGCGGCGCATGCAGCACTTCTGAAGCGCAAAGCTGCCGAGGCCTACTGGTGTTGGAGGAGTAACCCCGAGGCCAGTTTCAGTGTGTATCCGGACTTGGACAGAAACATCCATCTAGAGTACAATCTGTACTGTGCTGCGTGGCCCGAGGAAGGGCATCTAGAGGACTCTAAAGAGATGTCTATTTCTTCTACGGCTTGCTCTTCGCAAGAGACCGCAATCATAGTAGGCGGGCCTGCTGCGTCGGCGGGTTCAGTGAACGAGGCGAAGGGGGGAGGAGTGCAGGTGCCTCAAGGGCACCTGGTGTTGGGTGAGGGTCGATACGGAAAGGTCGTATTGGCCGAGAATAGAAGAACGCACGAAATGATGGCGGTGAAGATGCTGGACAAGAGGCGAGCTCTCACTGACGATTCGTGGGACTGCAGGCAGGAACTGGAGGTCCACAGGTGAGCCGGTGCTGTGATTGGATCGGGTGCCGGGATGTGTGTAAAACCTCGAAAGCGCAACCGAATGTGTAGCGCTTTCTGGATACACAGCCCTCTCGGAAGGGGGAAGGGGAGCGCATTCTTGGCGTGTAGTGGGAGTCAAAGGCAGGGGCTGCTCCTCCATCTCGTAGCTGTCCTCCAAGGGGTCTTGTGCTGTTGCAGACGACTGCCTTGCCATCCGCATGTGGTGTCGGTCCTGGACGTGTACGAAGACAGGAAGAGCCTTTACATCGTGATGGAGCTCTGCGACAGAAACACCTTGGTTGATCGTGTTGTCGCAGATGGTGCATTTACTGAAGAGCAGGCCAAGCTTATCTTCGCACAAGTGAGACCTCTGTGTTCATCTCATCGTCTGCTTAAGAGAATGTGGCTAACGTAGGAGCTACCTTTTGTTTCGTGTTGCCGTCCTTGGTGGCCGTCTCTTGCGGAGAGAGAGCCCATTGCCGCGCCGTTCCCTCCGGTCTTTCCCGCACGGAAGGAGAGGAGATGCGGGAAAGGCAAGCCCTACTGTTTTGTGCGTTTTCCTGGCTTTGCTCAGCTCTTGTCTGGCGTAATGCATTGCCACAACAACAACATTGTCCACCGCGATTTAAAACCCGAAAACGTATTGTTTGCGCGGGAGGCAGACATTGGCAAGTACCCTCTGCCGGCTAATGAATTCCTGTCAAGGGCTTCGGGGGCTTCTGGAAGTTCCCCTGTCCAGTGCGCCGATTCGCGTTTCTCTAGTGAATTTGACGGCCAGGGGCGGCCTCCTGCTCCCCTGCGGTCCACACCCATTGTGAAGATTACGGATTTTGGCTCTGCCTGCTATGCAACCCCCGGAGAGCTAAGTGGCACTGCCTGCGGCACGATTCACTATGTAAGTGCATGCATGCCTCGTCATTTGCTCTCACTGATGGAACAAGTAGCAGGTTCTTTCGGTCCACTGTCTTCATGGGGAGGGGAGTTAGACACGACAAATAAAGATAAACCTGCATACTTTTGGGGGACAAGCTATCGGTGGATTCACGTGTGCGGGACGTGCTGGAGTTTGAGCGAAAAGTTGATGTCAGTGGGAAATGAGTGCCACGGTTGTATGCCCATTTGTGTGAACCCTGATACAGAGAATGTTTGGTGCACCTGCCGTTGTGCCTACCTCCAGGGGTTCATGCAATGCTTCATATTTGTAGAAAGTGCTTGCGATGCGCCTTTAAGCATCTCGTGTGCTATACTTGCGCGCGCCTGTGCAGCTGGCCCCAGAAGTCTTGGCTGGTAATTACTACGATGGATTTTTGAGTGACGTGTGGAGTTTGGGAGTAATCCTTTATATTATCATTTCAGCCACCCCGCCCTTCTTCGGCGAGTCTGATGGGGAGGTGGTTCAGAAGATAGTGGCGGGTAAGCCTATTTGCTGCTGCGACTGCTCCTGTTGGAGCACTATCTTCATTTCTCGTCCCCTTTTCCCCAAGTCTTGCGTCTGTTAAAAGGAAGCGCCCTTTTTTTGTCGGGGCATCTGACTGTCGCCATCTGAGAGTGTGCTTTGGTTATTTAGGGTCCTACTCAATGAGCGGCTATCAATGGCGAAGCGTCTCAGAAGAATGCAAAGACATTATCAGGCGACTGCTAACTGTTGATCCGCGCTGCAGGTCAGACTGAGCATCTATTCGCTTGAGGGTTACTCGAAAGGGTCGGGGGGAGGGCCTCGTGGGTATGCCTGTGGATGCATGGCGCTGTATGACTGCCCCTCAGTTCTACCGATGCTTTTGCAGAGAGTACTTCGCCGCAGGGATCAAGAGAGGCTACCTCTAAGCTCAGGATCTATATTCCTCATTACTTTGTGGTTCGATGAATGTATCGCTTTGGTCTCCTCAGGATGTCGCTGCATGAGGCCATCGCCCACCCCTGGATAGTCCGAATTACAGGGAGTCTGAGCTGGCCTCTCTCATTTTTTGACTGCGCGTGCTGTCTCACGAGGGATTCTTACGAGGAGATTGAGGATGAAGGACCCATCAACGGGGACTACGCGGCAGTTTGCTGTTGTGGGAAATGTCATGCAAGCAGCAGCGATGCATCAGCTCTGGTCTTGAGCCCCCAATTTGCCGCATACTGTGCCTCCCCCATTGCCTCTGGTTCATGGGGTTCTGCGCATCCCTGTGGATTTCAGTGGCCTAGGAACTGAGTTGGTCGGAGCCTGCAGTCCAAGGGTTTGGGACTAGATCCTGAACCACAGCGTGTTCTAGCACCACCCCACTCCGAGCCTAACTCCCGCTTACCCAGCGTATCTGTACCTTGGGCCGGACAGTGGAGCATTTTTCTTCCGTCGCTGTCGTCGCCTTGGGGCCATTCGTTTGTGCCTCGCTACAAAGGGGCGACACTATCGACTTATTCTTTGATGTTATGCTGCCTCGCGTGTGCGTCATGCGGAGGCGACTAGTCACCAGCGGCTGTCTAGCTGGGGTGAATTACGGAATATGGGGGCGCACAGCCTGCGCTACAGTCCTGGTGGCTTCTTCGGTAGAAGGCTGCCATGACGCGTGCGCATCTTACGAATGCTGGAGATGGTGCTGGAGAAGCTGTTGCCTACTCAAAGGCCTGCAGCAAAAACAACAGCGCTGGAGCACCCCCATCTTCTGCCGCCATTGTTGTCTCCCATGGCGACCCTGCAAGCATTTCCATCACACACCATCTCTCAGTCAAGCAGCACTCATTTTATTGCAGCAGCTGAGTGCGTGTAAACAGCCAGCATGAACAGAGCGTCCGGGACGGCAACCCCAAACTGCACGCGCACGGCAGCTTGTGGGCCCCTCGGCAGTATCCTCTTTGCCTGTATCTCCTCTTTCCTTTTGCTTACCTGAGAGAATCGGAGGTTGATGTGCGTCTTTCGGCAGTCTCCACCATGCGTGTGGGTACAGCTGCTTGTTAGCATTTCCTTCCCCTGATCCGGCTTGCCGTGCTTCTAGGTGGTGTCACCCTCGCTCAAGAAGACGGCAGCCGTGGTGCGCATACCAGTGAGTGTTGACGGACGGTGTTTGCGTTTGCCGGTGGCGGGAAGTGTCTGTACACCGTGATTTATTTCCGCTTTGCTTCCTATTGTCAGCCTCTGGGCACCAGTATTGTGTCTTTGCTTGAGCCGCCTTGGCGGCCGTAGGGAAGGCTGTCAGACTTCACCTGGTGATGGCACCTCGGATGGATCACTGATCCTCAGCCCGAATAGCAAGTTTCTATGGGGCTGTTGGTATGGCTCTTCCGTGACATTTCTCGAGGTGGAGTAGTATGGCAGTGCGTGGCATGAGGATTGGAGAAACCCCTATTGTTGGGTTACACCTGACTCCGTAGGAGCCTTTTGCTACGCTTTGTTTCAGTCTCTTTGTCACTCACAGCCCTCCGCCCGATGTTGGTGGGCAGCTGATTGGTCTCCCAGGGTCCTGGGCTGATCTATGGGATTGAAGTTCTGTTGGGAGCTCGGTTACTGCACGTGCGTACACCTCCGGGTGCATATAGTGGGAGAGTATAAGCAGGTGGCGTACGGATCGGGGCTAGCTTGTAGTAAGCGTGTGCCCTTGCTTCCTATAAAAAACAAGCGCTAAAGAGGAAGCACGGAAGGCACAGTAGCTGCACAAACATTCCAATTTCTGGCTACTCCAGGTGTAGACCGGGAGCAGCTTATAGGCCAGAGATAGCGCATGCAGGCTCAGAGGCAGTTCCGTCGAGTTCTAGCAACTTAAACCTCCAACCAACAATGTTTTACCACCCTCGAATCCCCCATATGGACCCGCGGAGCCATCCTAGGGTAAAGCGTTTTGCTATTGCCCGGTAGTGGGGGTCCGCCTGTGCCCCGTCGGAGGACAGAACTAAAGGGCTGCGGTGCCAGGAGCGTAGGGCAAAGGCTTCCGTTGGCATGTTGGGTCCCCGTCGCAAAAAAGGCTACGGTCAGAGTGCACCAACTCTTCCATCTGCCGTTGAGACCAGTGACAAACCAAATAGACACTGCCTGTCTCGGGTTACTAATCATTACTCTACATCTTTCAGGCAGTAAGTTGCTTTCAAGCGGCTTACTACAGACGTTGCTTCGCTCTGCAGCTGCCACAAGAAAGGTGTGAGAAGCGAGCTAGCTACCTTGGATAACACGGCACTCGGTGCGATGTAGGGTTGTAAAGAGTTGGGGCTGTCTCTTGAGGAGTCTCCTGTTCGTCGTGATACCAAAGCGGACGGGGACGGATGCCCTACGAGATAACTAGCAAGTATTTGTGGCAAGGAGCCAAATATGGAAGTTGAACACTCTGTAGGCACGTCAAAATATTGTGAACTGTGTAGGGACGCCTGGTGGCTTTGCAATACTTTGCCTGTTCTGCACCTCATTCCCTTGCTCAGGGGACTAAGCCTAGGAACGAATTAAGGCGAGGCTTGTGCATTTGCTCATCAACGAGATTCGCGGGCTGAACTGACGCCACCGCTATTAAGAAAATCAATTTTTAGGTGGCCCTAGAGTCGTGGCCAAGGAATGTGGTAATGAACACGCAAGGTATTTTAAAGCCATCCACCGTCCCTACACGGTTTACAATATCGAACTGCAGTCCAGATGCTGGCTTAACACGGACCATCCCTTTAACGTGCGTAAATAGTGGATGACTTTCACCAGGTGCTCCGTGCTATGTGTATCTGCGAGCTATCTCATGGGGCGTCTGTCCTCTTCGTTATTGGTACCCTGACGGACAAGGTATCCTTCACGTGAGAGCCCCTAGTCTTTACAGCTCTCCACGTAGTCCGTAATGGGGTGCTATTCAAAGCAGGTAGCTAGACTTTAGTGCATTTCTTCGGACGGCTGCAGAGCGAAGCACCAAGAATTTCGAGCTGCTTTCCCAGCGGCTTGTTGTAACACTAGGGTGGTGGCCTCCTACAATCCATCCTCGACAACGGATGCTCCAGTTTAGCCCACGGATCTCACTTTCGGGCAATGACACAGGTGTGTCTTACCTCAACCCCATAAACCAGCGAAACTCTGGAGATAAGTTCTGGCAGAACTACTGCGCCGATTCCGTAAGGCGCCCATCTAAACTACATTTGCTCTACTGAGGTACCATGTAGCAACACTTCCCAGGATATCAGGGAAGCAGGAAGACAGCCTTCAAAGATGCTACCTATCCGCCTTAGGTGCCGTTCATAAGCACTTTTATAACTCCCGGCACCAGCTGTGAAAAAGCAGTGCCCATGCACATCCACATTGTCTGGTAGTCAAGAGCACAGGGATCGACTGGGGACCCAAGACTAAAGGCTACACAGTTACTCACACTAGTTCGCCCTATTCCAGAAGAACGGAAGGTCGCAAGGGGCTATCAAGGTGGTAATAGCCGATACTCGGTTTAGGCCAGCGCTAGCCGCTGCCCCTTCAAAGGCTAGAAAATATCTGCCGTGAATGAGGTAGGACTCGAGGCCCTCACTGTCAAATCACTCAAACTGGGAGTAAAAAGAGCTAAGCAGTTTCCCTCGTTTTGGATACTTGCGGCGGTACGTGCCAGTTCCAGAGTGAGAGAAAACAGGAACTGCCGAAGGTACAGCTTATACGTTCATGTCAACTACAATTGTGGCATCAGTCCAGCAGGACATACTGAGAGACTTTTTCTTCAGGCGACGAGAGGGCTGCAGAAGCTACCGGACTCCAAACTCAAGGCCCTAAGCAATGCGCTTGGACCCCATCCGAGAAGCATTAATCAGGCCCAAATCGGTGCCCTGCGGCCACATATTCCTAAATTGTTTATCGTACACACTGCCCGCAAAACTGCCAGACCCGCACTAGCTTACTTTGAGATGGGGGGATGAAAGCTTGTCTGTCCCCCTGAAGTTGACTAGCCACTCTATAACCTGCTTCGCGCTCTAGCTCCCAGTCCCTGACAAGTCTATGGGTAGGCCTACTGGAGACAGCCCTTGCGGACTTCCCTAGAGGAACCCCCCCTTCATGACGCATGTGCAGCAGCGCACAGCGATGTTTTGCTAGTTATTTGACGCCCCCAAATAGTGTATATTGTTCAAGTGGATATGCCCGCGTCTGCCCTTAGAGGAAACCTGCAGCAAGCTTCCATACGAGCTTGCTTTTATGGTGACCACTGCAGCCCCTCGGCCATTTGGACCTCAAGCGCACACGTTTAGCCCGGAAAAGTCGTTCCACCACCCTCTCTTTGCACTGTACCCGCTGTCCATTCCCAGGTTCCCGTGCTTGGTAAGCCGCGGCGATAGGCAGCAGCATAAGGCCCCTCTGGAGGGCGCAAAAGGGGCAGGTTGTTCAACATTTCAGAGGACAACAGACCTGCATGAGGCTTGCCGCCCGCAAGGCCCAAGGTGCTCCGCCTCTATCCATCAAACGAAAAGCGCGATACCCCGATTGCCTCATTGACCTCCACTTGCCTCCCTGGTTCTGCCGTCCTACTGTGCTCTATATCTCTGCCTCTGCCTGTCGCTGCACACTGCCCGTCCTCTGCTACTGCTTAGAGGCTGTCTCGGCATGTGGCAGTGCCCACTTCCAGATCGCTATGGCCCCGTCATCGCCGCACGTGACGAAGTGTGTGGGCCCTAAGGCACAAACCGCCTTGATATCGCCTGCCTCGTGAGCAGCCAGAGACCCTCGTTCTGCATTCGCACAACGTGGGAAAGAAAGCCAAACAGAAGGAGGCCTATGGGACAGAAGAGAAATGGCCGGCAGTTATACGTGCACACCACAGGCAGCGACAAACGGAAAGTAGTTCTCCGAGCTTGCTTGTAGTTCCCTGAAACTGCACTGGCATTTAAAACTCCCTCTTTGCTCTCTACGTCCACAGCTGCGCTTCCCCCGTGCTGTCTCATTGCAGCCCCCTCTACACACACACACACATTAACCTTTGATCTGTGCCTCAAGGCGGCTGACCTTCAAACTCGGGGACTTTTAAGACGCGAAAGCTCGAACGGCGACCCCCGTACACCAGGACAGGGCCTCGGGGGGACATGAGGCCTGAAGAGACACAGCACGTGGGCGCTGGGGAGCAGCATATGGAATAGTTCCCACAAAAAGGAGAGGCGGCATCGAATGACTGCTCTCGCCTGAGAGCAGCTGTCAGGGATCCGAGAGAGCGGGGCAGCGAGAAGGCAGAGAAGCAAGGAAACGAAAGTTCTTGGCACAAAAGACTCTTCCGTAGGGAAATCCCCGTGGAGAAGGAAAGGCGCCAATGCTCCCCGTCTGTTGGAAAGTGCCTCTCACCCTCCATGGCGGAGAGGTAGTCGGACGAAAAGCAGTACTGCCGCTCGCCATCGGCGGTGTAGGCGCAGATGGCGCCGCTCGCAAAGCCCACAAGGAGACAGTCGTTGAATGGCAGTAACGCCTGCAAACGTTGCCAGAGTTAACAACCATACCACACTTCATCTGCAAGAACATGAAAGCGCTAAGAAGTCGGGCACGCACGCGGCTTGCCCCTAGGCAAAAGGGAAGCGCCCAAGTTTCAGGCCTCAAAAACCTTCCAAGAGTCGCTTCAGTGCTTCTGCAGCTGCCAAACATACCAAAACAAGAGGAGGACCATTGCCCTTAACATCAGAGACGTCAAGAACTCGGAGCACCTGAAGCGACTGCAGGTCGATGATGGATAGGGCAGTGCCTCCGGCCCAGAGCACCCTGCGGGAAGAAAAGTTCACCAACCATCCCGACATGCGTTTCAAGCGCGCAGGCTTTGCTGGATTGCTCTTACTGACAGCAAGTTACCGGGCGAGATGCATTCGGAAATCGCGTCTTAAACACACAGCACGTGCGTACTTGCGTGTTGTAGGGGGAGCAGAAGATCCTGCAGCGGGGGGAGTAGCCCCCCCTGGCGGCTGTGGCAGGGTGACGTCGGCAGTTTGCAAACAGCAGATGCTGCCCTCTACCTGCAGCGCGTGAATTGCGTTGAAGGTCTGCTGTGGCTCCTCAAAGCGCCAAAAGCGGATGCAGCCGCCCCAATCTCCAGACACGAGCACCCCCTCCACCAGCAACAAGGAGTACACACTTTTCTCGTGCCCCTGAAAAGACGAAATAGGTGGATAGGGGAGAGAATATGAAGGAGTGGATCGCTGGAATCACCACAGCAACATTAAAAAGAGAGCGTGAGAGATAGATAGATAGATAGGTAGATAGGTAGATAGAGATAGATAGGTAGATAGATAGATAGAGATAGATAGATAAGTAGATAGATAAAGGGAGAGAGCGAGAGAGACAGAGATGGAGAAAGTGAGGCAGGACATGGAAAACCAAGCACCCCCAGAGAAGCGGATGCTTCGAGGGCGCTTTTTGTCTCCGTTGCCACTCTCTGCTTGTGCGACTACTGCCCATACACACAGACTTTCTCTCTCTCTCTCTCTGTGCAAAATAGTGCCCCCAAAACAACATGTGGGACTGTGCTGCCTGGCATGCGTTCTTCGCCCCTGCCTGCCAATTTTCTCTGCCCTGAGCGACCGCTTTCCTATTTCGCGCTGCAGTCTATCTCTGGCAAGCGTACGGTGAGCTCCTTAACTTCACCATTTGCAAGGAACACCTTGATGCGGCCGTCTCCTAGTCCCGCGAAGAGGGCACCCCCCAAAAGCTTGAGGCAGCAGACTTCTGCCCCCATATCGGTGCATGTCAGGCAATTCAAAGCCAGCAGGGGTTCCCCGGTGCTGTCGAGATCGCCTCCCTCTGCGGTTCCGGGACTGACTTGCGCTGCAGGCTGGGAAATCTGCCAGCGCTGCGGCAGCAGCAGCCCAGAGCACACAAGCATCCTCAAAGCCTCTCACTACCAGATACAGCCCTTCAAACGCATCGCAACAGCAAATCAGGAGCCCCCAGCAAGCCAGCAGACAACAGCACCCGTAAGCAGCCTTAGTCATAACCAGCCTCTTCAGCTGCAACCAGTGATAATATGTAATATACATGTATAAATCACACCGCCCGTCAAACAAGAAGACTACCCCAAAAAGCACGTTGCGCAGAGCTGCGGCCACATCCCCACAGAGAGAAATTGCCGGTACCATGAGTTTCTTGTCCTTGCCACCCGTAAAGAGCTCGGAAGCCGCGGGGTTAACAATGCAACACCGAATGCCCTTCCCACCGTGGGCCTCTTCCTGATAGCCAACGCACTCCAGTGCGTGAGCAAATCTGAAAACAACGGTGCAAGAGTGGGAGCAATGCGACGTTTCGTGAAGCCGTGCGTTCCAGAGCGGCGAACAGCCGTGGCGAGGGTTTTTTTCGGGAGATTTATAGCAACAGAGGCGCAGACGGGAAAGCCGCCAAAGAGGAAGTCACAGTCAAAAAGATCAAGAGGCTCCTCTACACGCAGAGGTGGCGGCTTGCCTGCATCGGCTGCCGAAACGGCAATCTCCTGCGCATTGAAACGCATCAAGCAGTACAGTACAACCACGCTCTCAGTGCAATTTTCCAAGCCCGCATCACAAGGCAAGGCCACGGGAGAGCGACGCAAGAACCACATCTACAGCAAGCACATTCCAAAGGCCTCCTCTCCGCTAGAAATGGCTAGCTGGACTCTTTTTAGCTCGTACCGCTTACGCTGGTGGGAAGCTCAGCGTGAGCCCTCTAAGCACACGGGAAAGGTCTCCACTCACCGTAAAACGCGAAATTCTGGCAGAAAGGAGGGGCCCCCTGCTTCTGCACGGGAGGAGCCTCCGTCATCGTCACAGACTCTCCTCTGAGGCACGGCCCCGCAAGACATGCATCACGGCATCCTCTGCAAGGAACCCCCTTGTTTCTTACGTCTGTCTACCCTCTCTCGTCCGTCACCCGCGTCCCTCTCCCTGCTCCCCCTCCCCCCAGCAGCTGGCCGATCCCCCTCACTCTCCCTTGCCTGGAGTATTCTATCGCGTGATGCTCGGTGCGGCATCTCGGACCGTCAGCGCGGCCCCTCCTCCGTCCGTAGGAGCCATGGGGCCCCCTCGGGGGCCCCCCTCCCCCGTGCCGGGAGGTGCCAGGGCCTTCATCTCTACCCCAGCATCGCCCCGAGCTGCTTGCGCCATACCCTCCACCGCGCCCGTGGCAGCGCGTGCTTCCAGCTGCATTCCTGTTGCTCCAGGAGCTGCCAGCGCCACTGCCGTCCTGAGGGCCCCACTGGCCTCGAGATCCGTCGTTTCGCCCGTTAGGCTGATACGAGGAGGACGAACCGCCGGGAAAATCTGCACCAACCCCACACTCGCCCCGCGCTGCATGCCGTAGCGCCAATCCGCCCGCAACAAGGGGCCCTCCAAGGCAGCAGCAAGGAAAATAGGAAGGAATACAGTGCCCCCTGACCCCGCTCAAGAACGCGACACAGCCCTAGGAGACGCTCTCCTCCAGACCTCCCCCTTCCCCCACCCCGTTACTTACTGCGGTCGCCCCCTCCTCGGTGCGTCCCTCTGTGTCCGCCGCGGTTCATTGGAGCTCCTGGAAATCGGCTGCAAGGAATGCTGCCGCCGACGTTGCATGCGGGAAGCGGTGTGTGACGACGGATTTTTGAACGTAGGGAGCGCTCAGGCTGCGCCTCGGAGTATGCAGCGCATGCCTCAGTATATCGCAAAGAACACGCGGCCTGAAGCCCAGAACCTCTGACGTTTTGACCCTCGCGTCATACGGGCCGGAGGACCCCTATGGGAAGCCCTGTTGATCTCCCCCTTGGTGTTGCTGCTGCCTTCCGAGGCAGAGGGAGCCACCAGGGGCTTGGGGAGAGACAGAGAAAGTGGCGCTTGGAGCTTCCGACGCACGAGAGGACAGAAGGAAGAAAGGCAGAGAGAGGTCCCGGAAACAAACACAGTGGAGAGGGGAGGGCATCCCTTAACGGGAGACAGCCAGGTGTCTGTCTGCAGCAGTAACGCTTAAATCGATAAAATTTCGTTGAATTCGCATTCTTCTCTGCTGTTACGCCGTTAAGGTGAAGCTTAGAGGCAGCAAAAAGAATGCCGCGGGACGCATGCCCTGAGAGAGCCCCAAGGGCCGCCAGCTACAAGCAGCCCGTTGCTGCCTTGTACACTGCAGCGACTTGCTTGAGCTCATACGCGTATTGAGACGCTAGTGACAGAGGAAAAGCGAAAGTCGCAGTAGGAGAAACAAGGCACGAAGAAGGGCAGTCACCGAGGGACCCTGCTACCGATGCAGTAGAGCCAGGGCACCGAGACTGCGAGCGCTCAATGCCACTTGCCACGTGCTTGGCTCGGCTTCTGGAGAGCTGCAGCTAGAGGGACGTCCGCTTGCGCTAAATAGGGTTCTAAGGCCCTTCCGTTCGCAGCGTCTTTTACTGGCCCTAGACGGCTAAGCGAAGAGATAGCTTTACACAGTCTTGACATGCGCCAGCATGCAGCAAGACGACCTGCACACGCCTCAGTCCACTCAAGCACCCTCATCTCCCCGTTCAGAGGGCCCTCTCCTGGCCCCTCGGGGCCCCCCTCCTCTCTCCTCTCTAGAAATCCCCCCCTCGCCCTCCCCAGCGAGCTCCCCAGATTCGTCAGGGGCCTCACAGGTGGCCGCCGCCATCGTCTCGGGAGACTCAGGACGAAATGCACTGCGCAAAGTCGAACGCTGCACGGAGGCTTCCTGCGGGCGCCGACCCGAAGAAGGGGCCTTGCTCGCGCTGAGGCTACGGGGTTTTAGAGGCCCTGCTCCCCCTGACCGCTTGGAACTAGGGCAGTGCGCATGGGCTGTTCTGCATACGTCTGCAGCTGCCTTTCCAATGCAGCCAGTAAGGATAACCTGTATGTGCGTGTGTGTATGTATGTATCTCCCTACGTCTTCATCGATCTCGTGCCTGTTGTGGTGTGCCTCTTCAGCCTCATGCACTGCATTCTTCTCGCAGAATCTGTGTCGATGTCTCTGTGCCTCTCTCTCACCACGTCTGCTAGTCAACCTTCATCCGTGTTGCAGTCGCTCGAGAGAGGGAGGGAAGAGGGAGGAGTGGCAGGGGGCCTGCGCAGGACGAAGTCGGGGTGCCCCATGTTTCCGTGGCCATCGCAAGAAAGGCTTGCTGTTGGTGCTTCTGCTCATCAGACTGCTGAGCAGAGGACGCGTATGACGTCTTGGCTGCGTTCTTTCTTCGGCCTGTATCCTTGCGGGGAGTGCCGGGCACACTTTGCGCCGTACGCGGAGGTAAGCGCAGTCCCTGCTCGCCGTGGCTGTTGCTGAAGCACCCAGGCAGAAGATTCTCTCCGCAACGTACTAGGCCTGACTGTGCCGGATGCGGCGTGAGTGCGTTCGCTTGCCTTGTGCTTAGCGGCACCCTGTAGACTGCAAAGATGCAGCCAAATTGAGTGTTTGGCTATGCGCTGCACACAACTTCGTAAACGCGGACCTCGGCAAGGAGGATTTCCCCTGTGACGCAGCAGGCCTCATACGCAGCTATCAACAAATGGACAGAAGCGTGCCAAGGCCTGACCTTAGCTAATCTGCCCTGGCCGCTTCACACGCACGCTCTTGTTTGAGACCTTCTTTAGGGGGGTCCCTGCTACGCGTCCCCTCAGGCGGTGGATGCGCCAGAAGGAGGGGAGAACAGGGCACGAAGGGAGAAGCAGCCCACGAGAGGGAGAGGCATAGGGGGCATGCGGAGAGGCGACGTGAGAGGGCGCTTCCCCGCAAGCATGCGTTACGAGCCGCTTCGCCCTACAGGAATTTGAGGACGCATTCGCGTAGCCTTGCACCGTAGACCACCCGCAACGCCAAGATGTTAGATGTGTCCTACGTACTGAAGTTTCGACTTCCGGCGAATACGCACATCAAGACGCGCCGAGAGCACTCGAGGCGCATATGTTCCACTCGAGCTTAGTGCCCCCGTTTGCCGTTGACTGCCATGGTATTTATAGCTACTTCTACAGCTATACATATAAGAATATGTATATACATGTAACGCTACTGCGTGGTGCCGCTAAGCATATTATAGAGAATGCAACTGCAGGGTAAGGCCGCCGTCTAGCGGAAGTTTGGGGCCTCTTCAAATGGGGCAAGACGCGGATGGTGCAGCTCCCCCGATCGCCGAGGGCCGGTAGGCTTGAACGACCTGCATCACCGGCCTCGTACACGTGCACTTTGCGACAGTGCGCCGTGTATCTGCACTGTCAACAACACGGCGTTGCCTCGAGGGTACAAGCAGGCAGCGATGGGGGCAGAGGGGGGACACGTACTACAGTCATACGGCATCCGCCGTACGAGGTTCGGGGTGCAAATGCCCAATTTAACTGCTATTGAGGATGCTATTTTTAAAGAGGCTTCGTGAATGCGACCACCCTATGAAAAGCACCAAAAGGCATATCCTATCAGGGGCCACGCATTTCTATCGCACTCTCAAACCCCAGAAGATGAACAACAACTGCCACTAGGCACCAAAACGCGGTTGGGGTTCTCTTTGTGGCACGCTGTCCCTTCCGGACGCTCCTCTCTCCCACTAGAGCCAAGTGTTGAAACATCCTCCGCAATTGAAGCGAATATCTGTACAGTCGTGCTCTACAAGCGCGCACCACATGCTGCATGGATGAAAGGATCTCGACGGTAGATACGCGCGCCCTGCAGCTTTGAGTGCGGAGCACACTCAGCTCTCTACACCTAAAAGCCTTACTGAAGACTACCCAGAGCACATAGCGCAAGGCTCGTCGTCGCGTAGGCCCTTTGGACGGAGGCGGCACACTGCGCCGACAGGTGACGAACTGGCGTTGTCACTTCCGCCTTCGCTGCTTTTTTCTGGCACAACAGCAGGGTCTACTTCTCCCGCAGGCTTGTCGGCTGCACATTCGGGTGTCTCTGAGGCTGGGGAGCTGGCGGGGGGGTGTGGCAGTTGCTGATTCTTCTTAGCCGCCTTCGCCACACTCTGGTCAACAGTGAACTTAATGGCGTCCGCTGCCGCCTGCGTCCTTAAATAGTAAATGCCCGTCTTGAGTCCGGAATTCCACGCGTGGAAGTGCATCGTCGAGAGCTTCGCGAAAGTGGGATTCCGCATGTGGATATTTAAAGACTGGGACTGGTCTACGAAGGGCGCGCGATCTACCGCCATATCAACAATGCTGCGCTGCTTTATCTCCCAAACCGTGCGATAAAGCTCCTTTAGATCGTCCGGAATCTCTGCCAGATGCTGCACGCTGCCGTTATGAGCGATCAACTTCTGCCTCAGGTCCTCATTCCACAAGCCAAGCTCCAGCAAGTCTCGCAGCAAGTGGGGATTAACGACGAAGAACTCTCCGCTGAGCACTCGGCGGCAGTAAATGTTGGACGTGTAAGGCTCGAAGGCCTCGTTGTTGCCTGAGGAGCAGCAAGCACAAAGCACGCACAGGAGGGCGAGAGCCGGGTGAGGGAGGGCAGAGGCGGCAAGAAGGGCCGCTAGCAGTCGACTAGACCGCTGCTTTCTCAGAACTGCCGTCCGAGATGCTCTGCAGCCGCCTACCAAGGATTTGTGAGGTGCTCGCAGTAGGCATAGGGGCCACCAGCAGGGAGTTCCTCAATCCGTGCTTCTTAATCTTTTCCTTGAGGCTATCCCAGTTGCACAGTCCACTGGTTGGCTTGACATTCCAAAGGTCGAACTGCAGGAGACCTTTAGACGCCGGAGAGCCCGCGTATGTCTCGTAAGGCCCTTAAGAGCGCAAAATACACACAAAGCCACGGAGTTCCCGAGTTTGTCCCCCCTTCCACATGAGTCAAGCTGTTTTTACCGCCGATATTCTCTCCGCCGCTGGTGATAATAACGCATGTGGTTTTTCGGGGCACTTGAAGTGCCTGGCGGCAACTTGAGCGCTGCGGCCGTGTGCGCGTGAGGAAGAGGTAGGCGTGCCTTGCTCCGTACCTTGCTCTGCTGCAAGCTCCATGCTGGCTTCGCATGCGGCGTAATAGATGCATTCGAAGATGTTTTTGTTGAGCTCTCTGGCTGGGGGACTGTCGAAGGGAAGTCGCAAGAGGAGGAAGGCATCCGCGAGCCCTTGCACACCCAAGCCGATGGGGCGGTGTCGCAGGTTGCTGTAGCGGGCTTCTGGGACGGGGTAGTAATTTCTATCGATGACACGGTTCAGATTCCGAGTCATGACCTTCACAACAGCCATGAGCTTCGCGAAGTCGAAGAGCTTCTTCTCGACATCCACGAATCGAGGGAGAGACACGGAGGCCAAGTTGCACACAGCGACCTCGTCGGGACTGGTGTACTCCACGATTTCGCAGCACAGATTACTCGATCGAATGATCCCCAAGTTTTGCTGGTTGCTCTTCCTGTTGCATGCGTCCTTGTACATCATGTAGGGGGTGCCTGTTTCGATCTGCGATTGCAGGATAGCGAACCAGAGCTGCTGAGCCGGTATCGTCTTCCGTCCCCGCCCCTCGCGCTCGTATTTCTCGTACAAGGCAGCGAACTCAGAACCCCACGTTTCAGTCAGACCAGGGCACTCGCAGGGACACATCAACGTCCACGAGCCTGCGCGAAAACGCCACAAACACGCATATGCAGGAACACAAGCTTGCCCGCCTAGGGGAGACTTTCGCAGCCGCAAAGATCTCCAACGTGTGTGTGTGTATATGCGTGTGTGTGTTTGCGTGTGTATATGCGTGTGTGTGTTTGCGTGTGTATATGCGTGTGTATGTATGTGTGACGCTCGTTCTGCCTGTACTTCCAGCACCTTCACTCGTTTTCACCCCACTGTCTCGCGTATTCATAGTGCAAAAATCGCGCTAAAACACCGACCGTTATCAAAGACGCGCTCCATAAAGAGGTCCGGAACCCACAGGGCCGGAAAGAGGTCCCTGGCGCGCATCTCCTCCTTCCCATGATTTTTTCGGATATCCAGAAACTCGAAGATGTCTGAATGCCAGGGCTCCACGTACACTGCAAGGCTGCCCTTGCGCTTGCCGCCGCCTTGGTCGACGTAGCGAGAGGCGTCGTTGAAGACTCTGCACACAAACACGCAGCCCAGCACGACGGACGGAGTACATAAATGCCCACGCCACCATGCGCGCTTGGAGGGCATTAGCGCGGAAAAAGCACAAAGCCTGCTGGTGGAAATAGCAGCACTAAGCGCGTTCGGAAAGGTCGGACAGGGCGGGAAGCCCCTAAGGAAGAGGACTGATGACCAACCTAAGCATCGGAATGAGTCCATTGGAGTAGCCGTTGGTTCCTCTGATGTAGCTGCCCGTTGCACGAATGTTGGTAATTGAGAGGCCTAGGCCTCCCGCTGTCTTGGAGATCAATGCGCACTGCCGCAAGGTGCTGAAAATACCATCGATAGAATCGTCCTGCATCGTCAGAAGGAAGCCTGCATGCAACGCAGCGCACGTAGGGAACCCCCTGGAGCCGTTCGTACGCCTTGTCTACTGTGAACACATGGCCTACATTGCACCCAGAATAGGAAGACGCATATGCGCAAAAAGGGAAATACTCGCGTCCCCTAGGGAGCGCCCCTCTGTATGGACACCTCGTGCAACGCCTCTGCTTACAGCTGCTCATCTGAGGGCGAGGAGTGCCGGCGTTAAAAAGAGTTGGGGTAGCATGCGTGAACAGCTTGAGACTCATAAGCTCGTATGTCTCAATCGTCCTTTCCAGATCTCCGTAATGGATGCCGCAAGCCACGCGCATAATCATATGCTGCGGCCTCTCCACGATCGTGCCGCGCATGCGCAGGAGGTAGGATCTATAGAGCAAGCAGCACAGGCACAGGCAGGCGTCCGTCGCGAGGTGTCAGCCTCACACATACATACAAGCATGACTGCATGCATCTGCACACGGGGAGGAGGGTTTGAAGAAAGACTTCCCCCAGCCTCCCTCTCGTCAAAATTAGGCAGCCCCTAGGCTGCGTGGTGCCATGGCATGCACCGAGGAAGCGCCAATGAGTCGGCAGTAGCGAAAACGGCCAGAACGGCAAGGAGAGAGACAGAGAGACGCATGAGACACGCGGAAACAGGCACGCATGCATCGTCTGTCAGACCTCTCCAGGGTTTTGAATGCGAAGTAATCGTAGTCGAAATCTCTGTGGTACTTGATGGCCGCATTGAGGCTCGCTCGATTTTGCATGACAAACTCGTATACATCTTTATGAATCAGTGGCGCCTCCCTCCCTTGGTTGTCCATGTAGGAGTGCAGCTGTTCTACAACTTCCGCAAAGTCCGCAGATGTATTCTTGTGAAGATTGTCGATAGCTATCCGGGCAGCCAGCTTGGAGAAGTCAGGGTGCGTTGCGGCCATGTAAGCTGCAGAAACAGTGATTATAAGACAGTGGCAGAGCGGCCTGAACAGTGAGGTAGAGGCGCTGGCGGGGAAAAGGCTGGAAAACCGCAATATTGGACTGGTAGGGAAGAAGCAAGGGGCACATAATACGGAGGAGAAAACACCCCAAAGCAGATGCCGCATGTGCATATGTTTACACGTGCATCTATACTCGGGTTTATGAGGGGCACACAGGCAGGCTCTGTGGGAGGCGCTGGAGAGCGCACAGCTGCGCCTGCGTACCACTTGTTTGGGCTGCCAGCTCGTCCAGCTGACTGGTTTTGATGCCAGCAAACATGCCATTGATGACTGCCTGACTGACTCTGGCCGCATCAACTAAAGGATGAAGGCCGTAACAAAGGGATTGCACCCTGTGGAGGATTTGGTCGAAGGACACCGGCTCCTTCTCCCCCTTTCTGTTAATCACGTACATCCCACCGCTGTTGAGGTGCTCGCCGTCCAACCTCTTGTCCACCTTTGAGGCTAAGGAGGCTCCAATCGACTTTTCAACGGGCGAAGATGCGCCTATGGTGAGGGACGAGGCTTTTGTGGTGGTGGTGCTGCTGCTGTACGGAGGGAGGGAAGCAGAGACAGAAGGGGGCAACTCCGGTAAGGTCATCCTTGCCTAGCTATATAATAAAAAAGGAAAGAGTGACAAAAGCGCTGGCGAAGACGAAAAGCCGCGCGAAGAAGCGCTCAGCATACGCACGCTGCACGGTAGTCCGAGGTGGCCGACGGCACCGCTGTGCTGCGAGAGGTTCCCCCTGAAATGCGACACGATAATGGGTTCCGAAATGAATAAAAAAGCTCGATAAAGAGAGAGAGACTGAAAGATGTCTAGCTGTTCGTAGAAAGGGTCCTACGGGCAACAACACCCCAGGTACACACACCAACCAATGCCACAGCCAAGGAGCAAAGAGACCGTTTCTCTCTGCAAGGACACTAGGAAAGCATTTAGCAATACTAAAGCTATTACGTCTGCAAATCGAGAGTGTATTCAAAAGGAAGAAGCGCAAAACATAGTGAATGGAGCGTTGTAGGTGGGGAAGACACCGTACTCCGCCACGGGGAGAGCGAGAGCAGGTGGTGGTTTGGGGGGTTGCTACTTTCTCTCTTCCCCTTGCTGCCCCTCCCCTAGACAGCCCCATTCCCATAAACAAGGGCTCACGTAGGCATAGCATCGACAGGCACTAGCAGAAGCATTTTAGCCACAGATCTGCGCCCATGCTGCTCACCCGGTGTGCCTCTCACTCGTGTCTCACTAACACCACCTCGGCTCTACGGAGTTGCCCTTTTCTAGGGCATCAGTACGCTTTCGACATTTCTTGAGCATTCCCAAGTGCAATATTTCGGGGGCAAGGCTGCCAAAGGCCAACTTTTGTGGCAAAACTCAGTAGGGCACGCCAGTGTTGGCCAGCAACCAATCTTCTAGAGGTGGGGTTGTTATTACTTCCCACCGCTCTGTGACAGCATAAAAGGTAATCACGAAAACTCTGCAGGGCTGCAGTAGACACTACGTGAGCCTCTTAGTGGTGAGAAAAAGGAATGGCTCTGTGGTGGGTGGATGGAGTAACACTCGGGACAAGCTTTTCTTCAGCTTCCATAATGCCACTTCCCCATGAAAACACGCTTGTGTAGGCCCTAGACATGTGTGGAAGCCGCCAGGGTTGTACGTTTTTTTCTTGAATAGCAGTGTAGCGGCCACTTTGCGGGCAAACTACGGACTGCTGGCAGCAAAACTCACCGTTGGGGTATGACACAGTTTCCTTGTCATTCGCATGGGGCTAGCCGCTTCGCTGGGGCACTAAAGGCATTATTACCGATACAAAGTTGACTGTTTGGCCAGCTTATCACACAGATCTCACAGACGCTATAGTGGGGGCTGCATTGCTCAGCTGACAGCCGGGTGACCCCCGTAAAGAAAGCCCACAGATCGAGGCTCCTCGATCTCTGTAACCCTGCACAGCAGACTACAAGACGTCGAAGGGCAGGGGATAAAGCTATTACACAAGCTAGTAGCGCAGAAAATGCCCCAGAGTGAGCTTTCGATGTGTTTACTGGGACCCTCAGAAGTCGTTGATCCACAGTGCACGTTACGGGCTAAACTGCACCTAGGGGAACCCTCCACTGTGCTAGTTATGTTACTAGTTTAGATAAAGATTTGTGAATAAGTCACTATTGCCGCGTTCGTCCGTTCGTATATCTTGTTGTAAGGTGGTTTTACCTCACTACGACAAGTATCAGTGTTGTCTGCTCGTCGGCTAGGTGCTAGTAGGTGGTAGTGCTTAGGGTGCTTTCGGGATGCATCAACATGCACCCTAGCTGTCCCCCTCGCCTCTTGCAGGGATGAGAGCAGGAAAAAAGAGGAGCTCGCTTGGAAGGACGCTGAATGACTTTGCCTTCTTTGTAGCTGAAGCAATACACATTACTTGGAATCACGCATGTCCCTAGGCAATATATCAACTGTACTACGGCATCTAGGGTTTTACTGTAAACTCCAAACTCGATACACACTTTACTAAAAAGGCATAGATTCAATGTCATCTAGGCCTATGTGCAGGTATGCGTCAAGGTATGACTAGCGAAGAAAACAGACGGTATTTGAGAGGGGGCTAGCTAAAAGCGCGGTATAACGGGGCAGAGGTGCCGATTCAACTCCCAGGACAAGACAAAGGGCCACAGAGTGTCGCACCATCGTGTGGGTAAAGACTGCGATTTTTCTCGAACGGTTATTCTGGTGTTTACAGGATATGCATCTATCGATGCACGGCTGCCATGGCCCTCACAATTGATCCAACTAGGGCCAAGGCAACGAAATGTGCTTGTAGCCTGAGTTCCACAGCTGCACCAAATAATTAGATTCTGTTTCAATGTACAAAGCGTCCAGCAGAATGCAGAACTCGACTCTGATCTCGATTCCGAAAATTTACAGGGGCCCATATCCCTGCATGGCCAGTATGTACACATGGGCACTACCAGGAAGCATGCTGCATACATAATAGTATAGCCCAGCAGTGTCTGTGTATGGGCTTTCATCCGGTTACATTTGAGCACGATGATAGCTCTATGTTGGGGGGCAAGGCGGACGTATCACTGTACTGACGCATCCCTCTGCTCCTTTATATTGGTTATTTCTCGACACGTGGCAGTGGCAGCATGTAGTACCGGGCAGTATCGGAACAGCCGCGCCACCTACTGCTACTACTGCGGATTTGGAGTGTATGAAGAACCCGCGGGGGTCTCACTGTACCTATTTCAAAGCACCCGAGGTTCAGGAAAAACTCTTTCTCCCCTCCAAACTCTTCCTACTGCTGTTTGCTTCCACAGACGCTACAGCAAGGCTACCCTTCGCCCTCTAACTTTAGAGAGATAGCCATAAAACAGCCTCAAAGGTGCAGCAGCGGGAGGGAGCATCCTTTTTTCAGGTGTCTCATCCCCGCCACCCCACTGGGCATTGCTTAGCCTGCACACATACACACAACACCCCAGTATGCAGTAGTGTGCATATAGGATCGCGATGCTCTCACATCGACCAGCAATACAAGGAGCGGCGAAATATCGTATGTTGACACGCAGAGCCCGAGCACCCCAAAACGCATAGTGGATTATTCGGTGACAACAGACAATACAAACCTCACCAGAAATTCCGCCGGGAAAGCAGAAAGAGCACAGGTTGCTCTCCGGGAGACGGGGAAGGTCCTGAGACCCCTCCCTCAACGCAACCGTCTGCAGCAATCCACCCCTCAATCACGGGGCTGCAACACAGACTTTCAGAGGCCTCCCAACCCCCATGTTGCTCCCTGCTGCTGAGTGCGCTGCTGCTGCCGCGTATGCAAGCACCTTTGGCAGCTGCAGCATGACGCAGTGCAATGGCCTCAGCGGCAAACAACCACACCCAGCGGTCTGTCCAGCTCCTTGGACTGTTGCCCAGCTGCAGCGCCACGCCGCTGCTGCTGCTGCCACTATGCCGGGCTGCAGCAGGAAGCAGCAGTGGCACATCTTGATATCGGCAAGGAGAAGCACTGGAGAAAAAAGGCCTGCGTTTCATGTTGCCCTCCATGCTTGCTACTGCTGCTGCGGTGTCAGGCGCGGCGGCAGTTGCCGCTGCGACAATCGCTTCTCTGCGCCAGGAGAGACGACGGGCCAGCTGTTGTAGCTTGCTGCAGCGAGCAGCACCCATAGAGTCTAGTCCCTCAAAGAAGTGCAACGCAAAGGCCAGAAGCACGAGCTGCTCCGGAGACTGCAGGAGCGAAAGACACCTCTGGCGTCTTTCGGCCTCTAAAAGCAGCCCGCGTAGTACAGCACCCGGTTGCGCCTGGCCACCGTCTTGATCGATCAACTGCAAGAACAAAGGAGCCCTGTACGCATCCTTTGGAGCATCGCTGCCGCAGGTGAGCTCTGTTGGTCCCGGTAGTGTTGTTCTGGTTGTAGAAGCAGCCTGCAGGCCTAACGGAGCAGTCTCTGGTTGCGGCGAGCCACAGCACAGCAGCAGCTGCGCCTGAAGCAGCAGCAACAACGCCGGATCGTTGAGATGAGGGGCTTGCTGCACTAGCTGCGCATGCAGCAGTGCAGCAGCAACTCCGAGGGCATCTGTAGCCTGCAGAGGCAAACACACCGACGCAGCAGCAAGGAACACTGCCGCTACTTCGCCAGCAAAGAGGGGCGCGAGAATGCCGGAGGCGTCAAAAAGGCAACACAGGGACCCCTGAGACGCAGGCGCCTTACCTGCAACTCCACTAGAGACAAGAAAATATCTGCCCAGCACCTACAGAGATGGCAGACTCGCAGAAGCAGAATCAACAGATTTCGCAGCAGCAGCCGCTGCTGCTGCAAAATCTTTGGCTCTACATAGATCGAATAGCAGCAACCCCTCGCCGTGCGACGTCCCCATGACGCTCGTTCACTTTACGCTCCCCTCCCGATGAGACGGGAGCTCCTTTGCGTCTCTGCCTTACTGCCATATAAATGCAATGTCTCCATGGCCCCCCTCTTGCTCGCCTTGTTCCTGCTGCTGCTGCCGCTGCTGCTGCTGGTACTGGTGCTGTGTGTAGATGGCCCTGCGAAGCCCCGGAAGCAGCGAGTGCAGCGTCGCTCGGCGACGGGCACCACAGGCACTGAGTGCATGCAGCAGTGTAGCGATAGCAGCAAGCTGCTGCAGGAGGCTGACTGCGACGCGTCCTGAACCTGCTGTTGCGGCGGTTCCCACAGCTGCAGTCGCCTCCTCGAGCTCCCTGCGAGATCTAACCAAGTGCTCTTCCGCCAGCACAAGGGCCGCATCAACAGCTGCAGCGGGAGCATCGCAGCTGTTTGCCGCTGCTGCAGCGCATGCCCACGCTACTGCGACACGCGGGTCCCCTGGCAATGGACATGTCGATCGAGCTGCTGCTGCTGCTTCGTTGCGGCTGTCTCCTGCTGTTGATGATGGCTCAGTCCGGTCCACAAGGTCCTTTGCCAGTGCGGTGCGCAGCTGCAGCAAGGAATCGTGGGACTGTTGCAACATTCTCAGAAGCGAAGGGGGAGCCCTCGCAGCAGCTCCTGCTGCTATCGCTGCGGCTTCTTCCAATACCAGACGTTCCACAGGGCCTTGCGCTCGGCCGGCGGCAGCAGCCAGAGCAGCAGCAACACGCGGCATCTGTTGGGCTTCGCGCACCAGCCGCGCATGCAGCTGCTCCTCAGCGGACTGCCGAATCGGATCTGCTGCATTGAAGTTGGCAATTGGATCGGCAGCCTCGGCTGCCACTAGTGCTTCCAGTACAGCTGCAGAGGGCTTAAGTACATCATCGAAAAACATTGCAAACGCTTCCGTGGGGGGCAGTAGTCGGCTGTCTTTGCTGCTGTTGCGGAATGCAAGAAGGCAGTGCGCCTCCTCAGGATGCAACTGCGGATACACCGCAGCTGCAGCAAGGTCTCTGCTCTCCTGCACCGCTAGCAGCAGACGCGCGACAGCGATCCAGCAGCACGCAATGTGCTGAGCCACAGCCAGTTGCAAACTCGTGTTAGAGCTGCCGCAGCTCGCACTGTTGCTGTTGCTGTTGCTTGGATTCAACAGCCTGGCTCTAACTGCTGCAGCCACGGCTTGCAGCAGCGGCGTGTCGGTCACAGCCGCAGCCGGAGACGCCAGCGAGGCAAGAAGGTGCAGCAGCTGCGCAGCAGCAAACCGATCTCGAGGCGTCTCTGCTGCCCAAGCGAAATCCTGGCTAAGGGAGAAGACGAAACCTCCAAAGGAGGGGTCCACGGAAGAACCTGCAGCATGAAGGGCATCCGGGAGTGCCCCTAGTGGCAATGCGCAACAAAAGGCAGAGAGTGCCTGAGAGGGAGCGACGCTGCAAGCACAGACGGAAAAAGCAAGAGACACACCGGCAGCTAGAATCGTGATTGTTGTTTCGGCAGCCAACACCACGGTAGGCGACTGTTTCTTTTGCCTTAGTATTCCTATTTATTGCGCGCACGCGCTGCGGGTTGTGGGCCAGGCTCACCGCTGTATTCGATGCAGCAGCCGACACAATGACAGCCACATGCCCCTATCGCGTAGCTGCGTTGCTGCCGCTGCCTGCGCCAGCCTGCGTCCATCGACTGCCACTCTCTCCGGGGGGGCACGCACAGCAACAGACCGCACGGCTGCAGCAGACAGCGAGGAAGTCTCCCCGCCTAACGCTACCGCTCTAGCATCTTCCAAGAAGCTCCTGCAAACTGCCCGCCACAGCTGTTGCAGCAAATAGCCGTCCAGCGTGCCGCATTGCAGCAGAGCAGTGGCAAGAGAGGCGGCGTCTCGAAGCGAAGGAGCAGGCCAGAGGCCCCGGCACTGCTGCTGAAGTCGCTGCTGGTGTGAAAGCAGTGAAAGCTGACTTAGCAGAACCTCTCGCAGCTTCTGCAGTACCGCCAAGGTTTTGTGGTGCTGGCAGTGACGCAGGACAAACCAAGCCACGGCTTGCGCCTCCTGCACACAGACCACACAAGCCGAGAGGCTGCACTGAGCAGTGGCGGTGGCAGCCGCAGCAGAAAGGAACAACAACAACAATAACAATGATAATTTCAATACAACAACAATAACAATATCAATAACAATAAGAGTAACAATAACAACAAGAATAACAACAAAAGCAATAACAACAGTAACAACAACCATAACAATAACAACAATAACGACAACAAGATTAACAAGAACAACAACAGCAATAACAATAACAACAATAACAACAGCAATAACAATATTAAAGACGTCAACACATGCAGGGGTACCCCAGGCTTGCCTGGTAGCTCCTGAGACGGTGCATTGAGGCGCTTAATGCGGGCAGTGCTGAGCGACGAAGCAGCTGCACTTCCGAGTGCAGCATCGGTGGCTGCTGCTGCTGTTGCTGTTGCTGTTGCTGTGGTGGTTGTTGTTGCTGCTGCTGCTGCGCGCTGGAGTTGCAGCGAGCAAGGCTCTTGAGCAACCCTGCGAGTTGTACAGGCCCCAGCTCGTGCAAACGCATGCGTGCTGTGCGCAATAATTGTGCAGCAGAAGCAGCAGCAGTACCAGCATCCGCAGCAGCAGTTTCTGTTTCTTCAAGAATGTCTTCCCCGCCTGCCGCACGTCGCCATGCCGCCGACTCCACAGGCACAGTGCGTGCTGCGACTCCCGCAGCAGCTGCAAGCAGGTGGGGTGGCAAATACTGCCCCAGTGCAGCTAGGCCAGACACAGCAGCATCTTCAGACAGAAGAGAACGCGTAGTAGCCACCTCGCGAAAGACAGGGAGGCTTTTGCGCTGGCGTGAAAAGCGGAGCTGCTCTCCGTACGACCCGTCTACTACAACAGCTGCCGAGGCGCCCTGCTGTGCATCGAAGTCTCTAAGGACAGTGAGGCGCGATGCCGCAGTGTCTTTTTCTCCCTGCTGCAGCTGGTGCTGCTGCTGCAGCCGCTGCCGACGCTGGCGGTGCTCGAGATGCGCCTCGAGACAGTGTAGCAGCCATCTGGCCTTAGCAGCCGCAGCGTTTGACCTTCTTCTTCGTCTTGCGACTGCCACCATCTCTGCATTCTCCGCCGACTCTGCTGGAAGACCCCTCCTAGAGAGTGCGTCTTCGTCGGCGTCTTTGCGGCCTCCCACAATTTCTGAGGGACTGTGGAATGCAGTGCCGTGACTGCTACCGGAGGCGGCGGCTCCTTTGGAGACTCTCCAGAAAGCGGCGGGAAGCCCCTCCTCATTCCAGGGGAAGCCATCACTGTTGGAGCCAGTGGTGGTGCTCCTGAGGAGTGCTGCTGCCCTCCTTCTTCCCAGCTGCCGAGGGCACACGGCTGCTTCGCAGCTGCCTCCTACCCCGAGATCCCTGTCCTTACTACTGCTGCTGCTGGTGCTTAGGTCCCGCCTCTCGCTGTTGCCGCAGCTGAGGAAATCGGAAGACGCCGACTGGGATTCTGCCGCGCGCGCATTCCACAGAGGTCGCCATCGAGCGGCTACCCGGGGGCCCCCCTCGGGAGCGAAAGGCGCTCCTCGCAAGATCGAAAGCCTTCCTGAGGCGCCTAGCCATCGGCAGTGCTGGAGGGATCGCTGCAACACGATGGGCAGTCGCTTGTCACCCCGAGCGGTAGGGCCGTAGAGACACCTACTCCAGGGGACCCCATCGGGAGCGGCGAGAGAGGGGCTTCTCCCCCCTCCCACGGCACGTTTCCAGCGACAAGGCATTGAGTTGAGGCTTAGGACCTCATGGCCGCTCTCCTTTCTGTTGGACACACGCTGCGCGTATGCGGCGAACGAGTCTCCCCTCTACGCTGAGGCGGTAGAGCCGCCAGGGGTACCACAGGAGGCCTCACAGGACTGACGCACACAGGGCTCTCGCGAGCGGCACGAGGCAAAGAAAGACTTACAAAATCTCGAAACGAGAAGATAACAGCCCAGAAGGGAGAGGTCGGAGGCGTAACACCGGTGCTACTGCACGTGGATACACTGCACCGTGGTCTCCAGGTGAGAGGCCTCACCTGCGGCAGTAGCAGCGGCCATATCTGCGCCTTCAGGGACGAAACAGGTAAAATATGCATGTTTCCCTTAATTAATAGGGCGGAAGGAGTGCGTGGACGTAGGATGGATGGCCTCGTGAAGAGCTGCCTCACCAGGGCAGCTGCTGCTGCTGCCAGCCACCTGGCGAACAAGGGCCTCTCTTCGGGATGCTCCAGTGCCGTATAGCCCAGGCTGCCGCAATGCCAGGCAGCAGAAGAAATTCTGCGTAGGGAAGCGCAAAGGGAAACAAAAGGCAGCTCTTTCAAAGCTCTTTCAGGTGATCCAAAGCCCTTCCTGTGTATGGCATTGCTTCCCGAGAGGCTGCTGCTTAGGTCCCTGCAGTTGTGTACAAGGCACCTTCCTGCACCGCCGTGTTGCTGCCGATCGGAGCGATCCGATAAGCTGCAGCAAGAGTCTTCCTTCCTGCTGCAAATACGACAACAGCTTCCCGTCGGTGGTACACCCGAGTGCAACTTCCCTCTCTGGCCTGACTCGAGGAGGCGAGTGCTGCTCGGAGGGCAGCACGAGAGGGCTTCTAGAGGCATTCGCTTTGGGGGGTCCTTACTTGCTTTCGGTGTGGGGCCACTGGAATGCATTGGCAGCTCGCCACGGCTCTGCGAGGCGGGAGGCGGTTCGTAGGCGCTAAACAGGAAGCCCCCCAACACCCTGGCCTTAGACGCTGCACACGAGTACATACACCGGAGCTCTGTTCTATTGCTGCCTCCACCGCACGCGAACCCTAACAAAGAGGCATTGGAGGGGCTTGCACGGGCGTATGAATAGCGGCTGAGTATCTGCGCTTTGCCCCCCTCCCCCCTTCATCCACCGCCTTGCCCGCAAATTCACGTGCCCTCTTGGAGCTTTGCTGCCACCTCTTTGCACCGTCGTCCTCTAGCTCGTGCAGCCTTCCTCTGCTGCCCGCTAGCATCGAAATTCCACCCCCGAATCGCATCCCCCACTGCGTTCCAGCAGCAGGGGGCCTCGCGGATGGGCCAGGCGCAGTCTGGGGTCCCCCTGAGGGGCCCCTCAGGGGAGTTGGGGGAGGCAGCCGAGCCGGCGTTTTTCTTAAGACTCGTGCAGACGACAGCGCAACCTACCGAGGTGAGCGCTGCAGCGCCTCCGTCAGCAGAGGGAGCCGCGACTGCTGCTGCTGCCGCTGCAGCGATGACGACGCCACGCGCTGCACAGACGGAAGCGTCGAGAACCGCCCCAACAACGGGCACCGAGAGCACACCTGCAGCAGCTACAATCTTCCAGCTATCCTTCGAGGGTCCCCAGCTCTCAACAGATGCGGCGAGAGCTTATGCGCATCGCCCTTCTGCCGCTGCAGAGGCGGCAGCGGAAGCAGCGGCGGAAGTGGCTGTAGAATCCGCGGGCACGATAGAAGTGGAGTGGGAAGACGGCTCTGAAGGCGAGATCCACCGAGAGCTCACTTGCTGCATCTGTGCAGATCTTTTGCAGAAGCCTGTCCTGCTCGAGTGTGGTAAGCCTCCGTTGCGTCGACCCCACGCGGTAGCAGGGATCTCGGCAGCCTGCTACTTGGTGGTGGCATGGGGCCGATGTGTTTGGCTCCCTTGTGGCGTCCAGTGCAAAATCAAAGACACACACACACACGCACGCACTCTCTCTCACTCTCTCTTGCACGCTTGGAGGGGGCTAGCTCCTGCCTCCTGCGAAAGCAACGAAAAGATACTCACTTCTACCGTGCCGATGCAGGTGCTGCTGGTGTGGCACGTCACCGTTGTTGCCTGGGGAACACTTGGCTGCTTCACGCGTTGCGGACGGCAAGGTGTCGTCCACTGCTTTGGCGTGCCGGGAGAATTCTTCCCCCCCCTCCCTCTACCCCCCTTTCCCCTCCCCCCTCCCCTCCCTCTGCTTGATCGTGCTGCAGATGCTTTGTGGGGAGAGAGGCCTCTGGTGGTTGCCTTCCGGGCATGTGCCGCGTTTTGCTGTGGTCCTTGGTGTTGCCGCTGCAGGTCACTATTTTTGTTTTTGGTGTGTCTATCGATGTATGAACTGCTACGACATGTCAGTCTGCCCTCTATGCCGCACGCCGTTCGACTGTCTGCCTCCTGTCTGCCGTCCACTGTATCTGTACATCCTTAAGAAACATCCGCAAGCAGCCTCAAGGCGAGAGAGGGAGCTGCACGTGCTCGAGAGGGGAAGGAGTCTGCGAAGTCCACCGCATCACGTCATTGCAGAGGGCCCCCCTGGCGCCACAACGGATGAACTCCCGCTTAGCACCCCAGCCCTTCTGCTGCTGCTCGAGAGGGAGGCTCCCGACTTGCTGCCTTTACACCGATCCGTGGAACTGCGCGTCGTTGTCGCTGCATACCGGGCTGAACAGCTTGCCCTCTCGCTGAGAGCCTCCACGCCATACAGGGCAGCGAATGACGCAGGCAGCAGCAGACGCGCAGGGCGAGACGGCTCACCAGCTGGAGCAAGCCAAGTAGACGAGGATGGTGCTGCCAGCGATTTCGACGAAGGACCCTTGCGCGTGGGCAGGGTGTCTCGGCGGTATCCCCCCCCTCCTGACCTGCGTAGGAACTTGGGAGATACCCCTGCCGAGCAGATGGACGCAGAAGACGAAGAACTCGCGGGGCTTACAGCACGCGCACTTGAAGGGAGGGCTGCACCTGTGCCTTCAATGTTTGTCCCCTCGCTGTGGCAGCAGCAGCAGCAGCGACTTCTCCGCCAAGTGGAGGTGCACTCTGGAGAGTCCAGGGGACCGGAGTGGGGGTCCTCCGGCGGCATAGAGACGACAGTGCAGCCGTCTTTTAGTGACCTCCCTGCTAGAGGCGCTGTTTCGTCCGATAGTGTCGAGCGAACTGGCGTCACAGAGCCGCCTTCGTCTGTGGAGACCACGCAGGAGACGGACGAGGTAACTGCTGAGTTGGCTCTCATGGTTCTTATGCGTGAAAAAAGCACTCCGCACGGAGTACCCCGCATGATGCGCTTAAGTCTTCCCTGTCTGTGACTGCTGCCCTTGCGGGAACTGGGAATGCCGTCGCCGCTGCTGCTGCTGCTGTGCTGCTTTGGACTTCTTCAAGGGATGTGTAGATGTGTAGGCTGGCGCAGAGCCGCTCCGTGAGGACACTGCTAAATGTAGGGTCTCTTCTTTGGGGTGTCAACCGTCTCGATGCATGCGTCTATTGCTTCGGGGATGGGGCTTGCTGGCTGTGTGGGGGGACTGCGGCATGCGTCCAGGCGATGTCCTTACCTGGCACCGGAGACTGGCTGCTGGAGGCGACAGCATTCGTTCACTACGGCGTCATCTGCCACCTTTGCGGCCGTCTGCCCATTGTGGGGACGAGGTACAAGTGCATGGACTGTCTCGAAAGTGCAGAGCACTACGATGTCTGCGGTGCTTGCTGCCAAGCTGCAGCAACCAAGGCACCTAGGTTCGCCTCCCAACACAAGTAAGCGGCGCGACGTGGCTCTGGCAAGGCTAAGACGAGCAGGACGGACTCAGGGTGCAGGCTGGGCTGTCTCGAGAAAAAGCCACCCTATTCCTCTGCTGCGCGTAGAACGGTCTACCCGAGTCTTCGAGAGGCACTTGTTATCTCTTGCAGAGATGAGTCTCACACAGTGTGCCCATCGCTTCCCAACACCCCCCGGCTCTCGACAACAAAAACTACCTTTCAACTCCACCCTCTCGATAGGGGTGTGCTACTTGTCGGCTTCCTCAGGGCAAGCCATCGGCTGTTCCTTGTCGAGCCCTCTAGGGCGGACTGGTGGATTCAGAGTCTTAACCGAATGAAGCGTATCCATCCGGAACTTTCTGTGTAGGCCATGTGTCTTCCAGACACGACCCATGCATTTCTTTTGCTTGTAATGTGCCTCCTTCCTTTACACCTCGGTTCCCCATTTAGCCAAAAGCCATATTTTTCCTCGTACCTCGTAGTTTCCCACTGCCTCCTAGGACCAGAAAGGACCACCTGGCCGCAGCTTTCGCTTCGCGGACTTTCCTTTCAGCGCAGGCGCACAAAACGCTGTGTGGGTGGCGAATATTGTGCTGCAGCAATCAAATCCTTCAATGGATCCTCATGCACTACCAAGATGGAAACACGCAAGAAGGACAGACGCTTAGCTCGTCCCTCGAGGAGTAAGGCGCAACAGAATATCAGCAGCGGCTGTTGCTGCATTTCCTGCTGATGGTAGGATGCAGAGGTTCTTTTGGCGGATGCTACCCTCCTTGCAGCTCAGAGGGACCGCGAGAACCGTCCTTCACATTATACTCACGTAACTTTCCACTCACCTTCGTGATTATACACGGTGAGACGTTCACCAACAATTTGCACGTGCGCCTTCAAGCTCTAGCAAGAGCATTGGCATCAGTAGCGTTTTGAATAATGAGAGTCAAATCAAAGCAAGCCAGCTTGCTTGCCGTTTTCGAGGAGGGGTAGTAGTTGTATTGGGCTGATGGTGTTGAAGAGTAGCTATAATCAAGGCAGACCCTGTAGGCGCTCTTTGGGGGGCGGGGGTTGTGGAGTGCGCTGGATCAATGGCATTTTCGTACGACGGCTTCGAGGGGAAGGCGCCAGCAGGCGGCCTCTGCTGCCTAACTCGAGGTTTGGGGGGTTAAGTAGGGGGCCCGCATTCCTGCGCGCTAAGATGTCCACTTAGGATACAATACGCTGGGAGGACGGAGAAACTGGAAGGCTCCTAGAAGAATGGCTGTAGTAGCGTTGCGTGGGGAGCTGGTAGACGTGTTGGGGACGGGGGAGGGGGAGGGGGGAAAGAAATGTCTCCTTTTATGTGTCCTTGAGCCACCTCCAATCTCCCCGGTAGTACGGTTCTTGGACTTGAAGGTCCTCCTTAAACCCCTTAAGGCCAGTTGTAGCATGCGCATCCCGTACTCTACCTGGGATACCTTGGTCATGCGAGGCCTACAAGGCCCATTCAAAGTATCTCCAGGCTACACGTTGCCTTCCTTTAGTGTACCTCGCTCGGGGCACAAACACTGCAGCCTGATGGCATGTCTCACTCCTTAGCAAGCAACCAGGAAGCGAGGTGTGACTGCAACCCCTTGAGTGGCTTGCAGGTGGGCAAGCCGTATGAGTCATCCGGCGCACAGGCTCACCGGTCGACAGCACACAGCCATTCAAGTTCCCTACGCGGCGGCCTCCCTACAACTTTGTGCAAGTTGCCTGTCATGGAAGCCTGGAGTGTCGAGAGACAGGACCAGTCCCTCTTTTAAAAACAAGCCTCGGGGCTCTATGACGCCCCAGAGATTGGATGGAGAAGGGAGAGAGGGGGCACCACAGGTGCAGATGCATTTTTCAAAATTTTGAGCTGAAGCAAGTAAATACCTTGGAAGCATTAAGCTTAGAAAGAAGGATGCTTCCTTTCGGGCAGGCGCCCTTGGAGACAGCGCAATTTTAGGTGCTTTCAAGCAGGATCACTGTAGGTTGCATTGTCTTGTGGCGGACCTGAGCTTTGAGGGCGATTTTGCCCAGCGGAGGTCCGAGCTGAATCTGCGGCGAAACCTGTGAAAACCCTGCTCGCTTCGGGCAGAAAGGAAAGATGCAGGGAACGAGGCTGTACACGCTGTCTCCTCTGCGAGCCTCTCTAGAAAGATGCATACGATTGGGATGCTCGAAGATCGAAGACGCCTATTCCCTCCGCGCGGTCTGCCAAAGGAGCATTATGGCTAACGGCAAGGATGCGATGCTGGACATCTGCACCTCAATTCGCCCGTCGCCTGCCCACAACAAAGGCAAAAGCAGCCCTGTGCTAAAAGCAAAAAGCTTGTTGAGCCATCTACTTGCGCCCATATTGCTCTTCTTTTTTGTGCTCCTCTATTTTGTAATTTGCGGGCTATGCTGCACTGTGCCAATTCTTTGCAAATTTTAGCTCGATGTGGCTACCGCAGTAGAAATTGTGTTCTTGTTTGGCTGTTCGTATTCCCCCATTGTCGAGGAAAACATTAGCTCTTTACGGTAAGCACTAGCGTTGTGCGCCAGATGCTATGCACAACTAGCTGCGAATGCTCCACATGCCCAAAGGCAGCAGCAACGCCCATGTCCCTTAGTTGTCCAGTCCTCTACCTTCACGTTGCAAACTAGAGGGGCGACAGCAGGGAGAAAGGATGTGTGCTTTCGAGAAAGGACTGTCGCTAGCTCAATTTTTGTATGAACTATGAGCCTAGAAGCCTATCGGTACGGGATCAACCACGGGGTGCTCCAATGGGCTTCAACCAAGTAATAAGCAAAAAGGGAGCTTTCCCATGCTCTTCTACCGTCAAGATCGCTGGAAGGGTTCAGATGTGTATGCAGAGCGTGTTGCGCAACGTTCCTCGTAGCTTCGTAATGCTCTAGTTCCCCTAGGGGCGTGTGTCCAAATCGTTGGTGCTTCGTACCTACAATGTGCGCCTGCCCGAGGCGTCCTCATCTCGCATAAAGCTGCCTGTACTGCTATAGATCGGTAGTGAATTCCACCCTGAGAACCCCACTAAACCCTCGGTGTGGAGGGACTGCGGTGGCGTGTATGGCCTTGGATCAAGGACAGTCCTCCGTCGTGCGACGAGTAGAAATCGTTTCTTGTCTTTTTGCATGTCTCGTAAGACTTCTGGATCTGTTGCTAGAGGTCCAGAAAGAAGCGACGCAGCAGCACTTGGGGTTCTACATGTGTGGACCTACGTTGTAATCCCTAAGTGTGAACTGCGGCGCTCGTGCAAGATATTCCTACCCATGCTGGCGCAATCAAGCTAATAAAAACCAACAGTTTTTAGTGAGCACGTGAGGACAGGAGAAGGCCTTTGGGACCTCACCGAACAGCAAGACTTGCGGCGCTGACAGCAAAGGCACGGACCGACACTGGCGTCGGCCAGTAGCAGGAGAAAGCACAGCAAAAAACAGCGGCCTCTAAACGTAGGGATCGTGCCAGTAACAGGGAGAGAGCAATAGCAATAGGAACAGCAACAGTGGCAACAGCACCAGCAGTCAGAGCAACGGGGATAGAGGACAGAGGCTGCAACTGCCTCTACTAGTGCCGCTTAGAGCGCCACGGCGTGCGCGGAGGGGAGGAGGAGCTCGGGCAGGCAGAGGGACAGCCGCGGGGTGCACGGCGCACCAAGGAAATACTGAAATATGGGCTAGAAAATAAAGGAGAATAATTAAAGAAAAGAAAATGCATTGGGGATCTCTTCAAAAGCTTTTTTCCAGAGCCTGGAAGGTACCTAGCCCACGTCGGCCGTCAGGGCCTTGGCTAAAGCCAGCAGCGGGTTTAGAAGGGTTAATCCCCCGGTAAAGGGTTTTTCTAGGCTAAGAGCAAACACAGAGCCGCAAAATAAAAAGGAGTTTGATAGTAGGCGGCCTGAATCAAGCGCAAGGTGGCGCGCCTCTTCCAGCCTGTGTTCTTCTTTTTTACTTTCTGTGCTGCTTGCTGCATCGCAGCAGCAGGCGGGTTTGGGGTGGCGGGAGTTCGAATGCGCATTTTGGATGGCTCTCTTCTGGCGACTCTTTGCGAGGCCTTCACAATCAATTTTATGTGTAAATTTACGAGAAAAAACACGCAGAAGTACTAATGGTTTGTCGGATCTGCCACGCCGAGTAAATGGGGTGCTTGCGGCCGCGGTCCCGCGGCGAACCCTGTGTGTGGGGCGGGGGTGGCAGGGGTGGAGGGGAACCTGCGGGAGGTCAGCTGTCTCTTAGCGCTTGTTGCTGTCAAGTCTGGTTTTGCTGGCAGCACTGCTTAAAGAGGAGACTGCGGGAGGGGTCTCCTCGCATACTTATTTCGGTCGTTCTTCTTTGCTGCTGCAGTTTGCTGCAGGGTCCTGCTGCTGCTGGAGCACCCGCCGCGGGGTGTCTCTCCAACCCCAGCCGCGCGTCCTGCGCCTCCGCGCCAGCAAAATGCCATTTGTATGTAGTAAGCGGCTATTTTACATTCCTTAGGCCACAAAAGGCCGAGGATCGTTTTAGCTGAACCCTTCTGAGCAGCCCTTCGAGCAATACCCAGGCTGCAGCGCACGAGGAGACAGCAACAGCAGCATAAACCGGGGGAGGCCGCTATCGCTATACTTCACGCCGCATTCCTCCGTTTCCCCGGAGGCTCTCCTTTTTAGGGCGCTCTCAACCGTGCCCTTGCAACGGATCCTGCGCGGGAGAGCAGCACAGCAAAGGCAGCACAGCAAAGGCAGCAGGAACGGCTGCAGTCAGACACATGTGTATATTCCTGCCGCTGCTGCGCGGATAGTGCAACTGCAGCAACAGCAGCAGGAGAGGGAGCTCTTGTCTTCCATTGTTGTATACCCTCGCCTGAGACACTGCAGTGCCAGTAAGGCAGCAGGCGGGAGAGCACACACCACCTCAGCAGCGGCAGCAGCGCAGTTTACTGCAGCAGCAGCACCACCCGCAAATCTATATATTTATATATATTTATATCAACCGAAGGCAGCAGCAGCAGCAGCAGCAGCAGCAGCGCAGTTGAGGCTCGACAATGACACAGAGGGCCATGTACGGCCCTCCGAAAATGCAGCAGGGCGCAGCAAAGCGCAGCCGCAGTAACAAGAAGGCAACCTCGCCCTGATGGAGGCTCGAGGCGTGCCCGTGGCGCCGGGTACGGTGCCTCTGCAGCAGCAGCAGCAGCAGCAGCAGCAGCAAGAACAAGACGAAGCGCTGCTTAAAGCTGCTGCTGCAACTGCTCGCCCCTCAGGTCTTACTGACCCTTCCTTTTTACCGATCATGATGGAGGCAGGGGCAGGCTGGAGCTCCGAAGCCACCGCAACAGCGGCAGGTTTACACGAGGCTCTGGCGTGCCTCCTTGGAGGCCACCCCCCGCTCCCCTTTGCAGCATCAGACTGCAGCGCAAACTTCAAATTTTCCGCAGCAGTTCCGGCTTCAGATATGACGCTGCCGATCGTTCAGAACCACGACTGGCAGCAGCAGCAACAGCAGCAACAGCAACAGCAGCAACAGCAGCAGCAGAAACAACAGCACCACCAGCAGCAACAACAGCGATCGAGGAGATTCCAGCCAACCCCATGCACGCTCTCCTGGCTAAGAGACTTCCATTTGTCGCCTCACGGAGCATCGGCGGCGCTGCGTCTTCTGCAGGATAGTTGCACGAAGGCGTGGACGTCCGTCACGGTGCTGCTATCGGCTGCAGCCGATGCTCCTGAGCAGCAGCAGCAGCAGCAGCAACAGAAGGGGCTCAAGCTGATGGTGGAGATCCTTTCGACCTCCCCTTGTCTGTTCGCTGCGCAGACACTGCGCCGCTGCATTATGCGGCACAGCGGCGTTCACTGCATCCGCAGCAGCGCGTGCTGCAACAGAGACTGCAGCAGCTGCTGTGGCAGAGACTGCGGAGGGAAAGGGCCTGCAGCCTTCCCATGCACTGCAGCCGCTGCGGCAGTCACCCTTAGGGAGGCAGCAGCAGCAGCGACAGCAGCCGCTGGTTGCAGCAGTGGCAGCTTGCAGCAGCAGCCGTGCGTTTGGGTTTCACGGGAGCAGCTTTTACTGCCAGTGTCTCGTTTTTTGCTGCTCCTGTTGCTTGCTCTCTCCATTTTTGAGGTTGAATTGCAGTCAGGGATTAGGCCTCTCATCAACGAGGTAGCCCGTACCGTTTCCCTTCTGCTCTTGCTGCTTCACAGCAGCAACAACAGCAGCTGCTGGTTGGCGCACTGCTCAGCAGCGGCAGCTGCTGCCCTAGAGCCGAACGCGTATCCGTCGGTAGCTGCGGCAGCGGCGAAGCAATATGACCTGCTGCTGCCTCCTGGGGAGCTCTCTGCAGTTGCCTCCTTGGCAAGGCGATTTCCTGGCGTGCGGGAGGATGAGTTGGAAGCGACGGCGGATGCAGCAGCGGTGGCAGCAGGTGCAGCAGCAGCAGCAGCAGCAGGTCCTCCGGCGACAGCAGGAGCAGGAGCAGCAGGAGCAGCAGCAGGTGCAGCAGCAGCAGGTGCAGCAGCAGCAGGTGCAGGAGCAGCAGCAGGTGTAGCGACAGCAGCAGCAGCCTTGCCGTACTGGGTCTCAGCAGCAGGCAAAGCTTCTCTAGAGATCCTTTCTGCGTGCGCCGATTGCATGCAGCAACAGCAGGGGTTCATCTGTCCCCTGCCCCTACGTGAGCAGCGGCAGTTGCCAGTGCCGCGTGCGCAGCAGCTGGACGGCTTGTCCTTATCCAGGCTTTTTGCTGCTGCAGCGGATCCGATGGTGCTACAGCCGCTTTTGGGAGCTGCTAGCCGCTTTATAATGGCAGCGGAGGGAGCTATCGCTCCCGTACCGCAGCAGCAGCCGCAGCAGCCGCAGCAGCAGCAGCAGCAGCAGCACCCCCAGCAGCATGCAGCGCTCAGGCCGCAGCAAATCAGCTCTGTCGCTCCAAAGCTGCTGATGGTGCTGCGGTGTGTTGGGCAGTGGCTGTGCGCAGCGGCGGGGGACGGCCTGCTGCTGCCAGCGCTCCCTCTCATGGAGTCGGCGTTGCTGCCGTCTCTCCTGCGTTTGCTGGGAACGTGCACCAGCATCGAGGCGCTGACTTGCAGCTTGGAAGCCGCGCAGGAGGCGTCGAGGCTGCAGGCTGCCGAGGCACCTCGCACGTTTCTCGTTGCAGCGCGAGAGGCTGCATGCGACGTCGCCGAAGCCGCGTCCGTAGCTGTCGAGCAGAGTCTAGCCTTGCTCGCTGCACGGAATCTGCTCGCGGATGGAGAAGGCGGCACGCACAACAGGAGGGCACGCGGTCCAAGGAGACAGCAGCAGCAGCAACAGCAGCAGCCGCACGCCTGCCTGCTGCAGCACCACCAGGCTGACTTCACAGGGAGGGCTCCCCCCCCCCGGCAGGTGGCTGCTCTCCAGCAGCAGCAACAGGGGCAGCGCCACACACTCTGCGTTCTTGAGCGGCTGCTGTTTTTCTCGCATATTTGTTCTGCTTTGCAGTCCGCGATGACTGGGAACGGCAGCTGCGCCAGCACCGCCTCCGAGGCAGCAAATGCTGCAGCCGCGGCAGCAGCCGCAGCGGGAGATGCTAGGCTCTCTGCAGCAGCTTGCACGTGCAAGGCGCTCGGCGCCGCCGTCTCGGCGTTCGCCATCGAGACGTGCGCAGCCTTGGCCCTATTAGAGGCAGAGTGCGCAGCAGGAAGCCCGCTATCACCGCCTGCATTCTTTAGACTTTGCTGCAATATTTGCAGCGATGCATTGGGGGCTCATGTGTATCCTGCCGGCGTGGCGAGAAGCGGAGGAGCCGACGGCTTGAACAGTGGCCACCGCCTCCCCCACCAGCAGCGCACTCCCGGTACGGCAACGCGCCAGCACCACCACATGCGCCTTTCCCAGCGTCTGCTTCAGAGGGAGCAGCAGCTCACGGCGCTGGCCGTCCTTGGCAGTACACAGCAGGAAGGAATTTGTGCCTCGCTGCGTTGGGGAGCCTGGCAGCTCCAGCAGTGGCTCTGCTGTACTGCCTGGGGAAGCAGAGAACGGTACTGGCCTGCAGTCGAGGCTGCTGAACGCATGGCTGCTGCGCTTTGTTTGCTGCAACGCTCGCTGCGACTTCGACTGAGTATCGCACCGACGGATGTCGCGGCAGTGGCAGCAGCCGGCGGGTGCTCTGGATCTCAGCAACATCAGCAGGTTGAATGCGCAGCTATTGCTGCTGCCCTTGAGCGGAGTGCAGGCAGCTGGCTTCGGCAAATCACGTTCCGCCTTGTAGAAGCATCAGCCTTTTCTGCTGAGCAAAATTACCACCACCAAAACAGCACGCAGATCAACAGTGCTACTACCGAGCCAGATGCCGATTCCTTCCTGGCGCTAAGATCAGATGTCCGTGCCGCCCTGCGGTAAGCGCAATACGCACCTACAAAAAATGCTGCTTAATAAATGTTGTCGTTTTTTTAAAAATATGGCTGCATGCTCCCTCTCGCCGCGCTTCCACGTGCACCGGGGGTGCCTTGGGATATCTTAAAGGGCATCTTTGTGCTTCTTTCTTCTTCTTCTGCTCCTCCTTTTCTTCCCAGGAGGACGTTTTTCGTTCTTTTTCTCATCTCGCCAAAGCGTGTGGAGGGGGTCTTGTCGTGTTCTTTTATGAAGGGGGTGGTGGCTGGGAGGGGGTGGTGGCTGGGAGGGGGTTCTAGGGCAGGAAGGGGAAGGGGGGGAAGAGAGCGCCATGGCATCCCGGCACGTGTGAAGACGGGCCGAGAAGGGCACGTTCTGGTTGCGGTATCAAAATGTGTTTCACAGGATCCAGGAGCACGGCACTGATCCTCTGTGTGTTTCGATTCGTGAGACGTGTGGGATTCCTGAGGCTCCGATCGCATGCCCTTGCATGACGTCTGATGTGCTGCTAGGTGTGCGTGCGGCGCCTCCGCAGGAATCTGTTTGCGCCCGACGGCCAAGCTGTATATACACTTCACGGAGGCCTGCTCCCCGATTTGATCAGCACCGCCCTGTCGCTGCTGCGGCAGGAAGCTGTGACGGCGGCAGAAGGTTCGGCTGGACAGCAGCAGCAGCAGCAGCAGTCTCACTGGGTTGCATTTGAGTCGATCCTTCACGCCATTTCTGCCGTAGTGCATGCGGCCGATTGGCGGTGTAACGACGCGCTGCAGCAGCTGCTGCTGGGCCTGTTGTCGCCTTCCGGCTTGTGCCCGCCGAATGGGCATCTCCCCCTCAATCGTCTTATGCAGCATGTGGGAGCGCGGGGCGGACTGACGCAAGCCTCAGCTTCGATCGTAGCGGCCTCACCGGCGCTTCCATGGGTATTAGGATCTCATCGTGTTCTGTTAGGTACAACTCTGCAGCTTGTCGGCGCGCTGGATTGGTGGGTGCAGCAGCAGCCGAGCTTTCTGCCTTCTGTGCTGCTCCTGCTGCAACAGGCAGTCCTCTTGCCACAGTGCCTTGGCGGCTTCTCGCTTTCCTCGAAGGAAGACCATTTGGCTTGCGTATCCCTGCTGAAGCTGTGCTCTGCGTCGGACGCTCCTGGAGTGTGCTGCTGGGGTCAGCCTCCCGACTCCCCCGTCTCGACACAAGGCTTCTGCGATCTTGCGACGCACCTCGTCGAGGCGCTGGCTCTAATTCCAAGCAGCAGCACTGCACCCGTTGGCGGAGGCAGCAGCAGCAGCGGCAGCAGCGCTAATGCCAACGCTGGGGAACTGCTCAGCAGATGGGTTGCGGCAGAGAGACAGCTCTGCATGCAAAGCAGGCACTGTGTTGTTGCTGTTGCGGGAAGACTTGTAGCCGTGGCGTGCCGCCTTCATGTGGCCCGCCAAATGCAGCAGCTTGTGCTGCAACAGCAGCACCAGCAGCACCAGCAGCAACAGCACCAGCAGCAGCAACAACAGCAACTCCAGCAACAGGAGCAGCAACAGGAAGACCCTTACACCATTGCAGGCCGCTTCGTGGGGAGACATATGCAAGTGTTGCAGGGCCTTACGGAGGATTTGCGCCGCCTTATAGCTGCGGGTGGAGCTGGTGCAGGAGCAGCGACGCTTCCACAGAAACAGCTTGTTACCGTGGCGTGCACTTTTGTGCTCCAGTCCGTAGAGGCCTTCCTTGCAGCCTGCTTGCAGCCCGTTTTGGACGGAACGGCAGCAGCAGCCGCCTCCGCCGTGACAGCAACAGCGCCTCCACACGCAGACGATCTAGCGTCGCAGTGCAGCAGCTGCAGCAGTCAGAAACAGCTGCACGCGCGTGCCTCCGGCTGCAGCCGACGTCCTCAGCAACAGCAGCAGCAGCACCCTCCGCCGTACGCCTGCACGATACTCAAGCGCTTGGGATTCTACAGTGTGCGACAGCGCGCAGCTCGGCGGATGCAGCAGCAATACCAACAGCGGCTGCTCGGTTCGGTCACCGAGGCAGAACCCGCCTCCGGATTCTCGTCATATGCAGCGAGTGCTGCCGCTGCAGCTTCTCTGGCTGCCTCCCGTGGCCTCCTCCGGCTGCTCGTGCTGCAGCTCAATGAGGCATCCTTCACCTTACGGGCTCTTGTTGCTGCGGCACGTGATCTCACCGCGCTAACCACTGGCCAGAGCCAACAGGTGCGCTCCCTGCCGCATTTCGCTTGCAAGCCTGCTGCCCGTGCGCGCTCTACTCGTTGTGCATGCATCCGTCGTGGCAGCGGAAGCAAGGCACAAGTCAAGTTCGCAACTGCTTCCTTGCTTGCCAACGCCTTGTAGATGTAGGTGCATGTATTTTTTGCTTACTGTCGAGCAGGGTCTCTTTGTAGGTGATTTCTGCCCGCACCGAAGAGTCTGGTTGCGTTGTGCTGTGCTCTCCTTGCCGGCGCAGGCGTCGGGCCTCATCGCTGCCATTTCGTCTTTTTTGTCGCTCTCGCTGTATGTGATAGTTCGGCTAGGAGGAGAACGCCCAGGATTATCGTTGGAAGCACTTGCTGCAGCAGCAGCAGCAAAGGGACTTGTCGGTGAGCTGCAGGCTCTGCTGCCGCCTCCACCACCTTGACTGAAGTGCAAGCAGCCGCGCAGCCACAAGGCCCTTTTCCGCGCGCGCCGCATACTTCTGTGCTTGCCATATTTATTGATCCTCATTCGCCCTCTGCGGCCAGCCATCACCACAGCGTCCGCTGCTGTTGCCGTAGCAGCAGCAGCAGAGACTAAAACACAGCAGCTGCGGCAGTGTCTCTCCCCATCAAAGTAATTCGACAAAGATACTCATCTTGAAGTTCACCGTGCACCGTCGCGGTGTGCCTGGGGGCCCTCCAGAATAGGACCTCTTGCGCCCCCTTTTCCCCCAAAATAAACCTTAACCCCGCCCGGTTTAAATCCCAGAAGACCGCGCGACACAATATCGCCGCTTCTCGCCACGGAAAAATAACAGCAGGTCCCACGTTTGCTGTCAAAGAGCAGGCGAAACCTCTTAAAAGGAAATTCTAGCACATGGTGCCTGGCAGAAGAAGCGTTGGCAGCTGATGCTGCAGCGATTTGTGGCCGTACGATATATATTTACATATGCGTATCTGGTTATTTGGCCTAGAAGGATCGTCTCGTGCAGCAGCAGCAGCAGCAGCAGCAGCAGCCGTTGCCGCAGCAGCGCTATAGGGGGACCGGTCACTACTGGTTGATTTGTCAACTAATATCCTATTTTGTTCTGCAGAGTGCGGGGGCCCCGAGGGGCCTCCCTCTGAATGAACTTACTGGTGGCATCATGGCATCTGTTTGCTGCTGCAGCAGCAGCGGCAACAACATCAACAACACTTATGCGATGTAGCCCTGTTCGTGTGTCCTTGAGTGGGAGGGAGGGGGTAAGGGATAACGCCTTACGCTCCACTCCCCGCTGTTCTCTGCACTCTGGGGCCCCCAGCAGCCCCCTTATTTTTTTGTGCCCTGGAGGGGGCCCCCGTATGCGAGGAGCGCCCTAGGGGCTACTAACCAACTGCTTAGGCGGGCCTTTACTGCCCATCATGAAAGGGGAGACGCACACGCGAGCAAGCGGAAAACCTCCGGGTGCATGGCGCGGGCTGTATGTAGGGTGCTTTATTCTGCAGTGCAGAAAACGAAAGGACTTCTTCTCCGCCACCCCCCGTGAAGGGGGGACGACGGAAGAAGGAGCCCTTTTTTGCGGACTCCAAAGAGACAGACGTAGGTACCTAAGTCAAGGGAGAAAAAGCAGTGCGACCCGGGGCCCCTAGAGAAGCACGGAGACAGAGCGATACATCAGAGTTTTGCAAGAGGGGCGGCGGGTGCCAGGTACGGTCGAAGGGGCCTGTGTGCATGGGAGAGGAAAGAACGCGAGAAGAAAAGCCAAAATAAAGGCTAACAATGAGCAGGGTCACTAAGAGGTTGCAGAGGCAGCCTCTTCGTTTTAGGCGAAGGCCTCCCCGATGGCGGGTTAGGCAGGTTTAGAGCTGCCATTCCTGCTGGTGAGCTCCCGGAGGTTTGGCAGCTACTCATGTGTACCAGCCGAAGGCGACGTAGGTAGGTGCCTAACGAAGTGGCGGCAAATCTGGAGATGAAACTGCTGTGTGCAAAACAAGAGGACAGGGCCCACTTTTGATTTGTGGCATACACAAAGTGTTGGGTTACAGAGGGCCGCAAGAGTGATCGCACCGTAGGGGGAAACCGGTGATTCCCGTGTTTTGTTCGTACTCTGTAAAAGGGCCCTCCTCCCTCTTCGCATGCCCAGCAACTAAATACCCCGTTCCACCCAGCACCTCCCTCCCACCCCCTCCGTCCAGAAGAAAGCTTATGTTGCTCTAGAAGCCCTTCCGAGACACTCCCGTGGGTCGCTATAGATGTGTGCTGTGTCTATCCATGTCTTGCTTGCAGAGTGGTACGCTTAGGCGCCAGCCCCCTCGTGGGTTGACCGCGCATTCTAGGCTTCGCTTTACCCGACCAATTTAGAGCCTAGCACTGTTTACATCCTTCGCTGCCACCCTTTTGTGCCTGTAGAGCGGCAACCTCTGCCTACAGTGCCATGCGGCCTTCCGCGGGATAGGGGCTTCGGAGTGCTCCTTTGTCCCCTTTCCTGCAAAAGACCCACCTTGCGAAAGCGTTGGGGTGGTAGGTGCGGGAATACTTGAAGTCGCTGCTACCATTCAGACCTCTGTGCGCATGCAAGCGTGAATTTATAACGCCTTGAGTGCGGCGTGTGAGACATCTTTGGGGGGGAAGAGCTCTTTTTGGCCTCCTTTGGAGTTCTCCACAACCACACCAGGGGAAACACGCAACGCATGCATACGAATAATGCAGAGCAGCATTGTCCAGGGCCTAGAGAGAGGCAGAGTTTGGTACCTCGCCGGATTCTGGATCTTCGCGCGCAAGGGTGTGCCGCTGCGCTTGCTTCACAAGGGCCTTTTCGAAATGTTGCTTCCACTATTCCTCACCCTATGTCTCGTTTTCGTAAAGAACACTCCAGTGGGAGCTTCGGAGGAGCATTGGGGAGCCAGCCTATGGAGAGGTGCCGACAGACCCGAGGGGGGCCCCCGGGAGGGTCACATGGGGGCCCCCCGTCCCGGCATTCCACAAATACGCCCTCTCTTAGGTTGCCTTGTGGTGGCGCTTCTTCTCCAGCATCTTCTGGGTTGTTGAGCCTCCTAAGGTGTCGCTGTGTGCATGGGGAAGGCCCTCTCTTGACAAGCGGTCATGGCTATATTTTAACTCCTGATGTCGTCCAAGAGCCTTGGCAGCGCCAGCAGCAGCAGCTGCTGCTGCCGGCTTCTTTGCTGCTGCTTTTAGCTCCGAGTTCGCTGCTTGGCATTCATTCCCTGCTCACTTCTGTAGCGCCCGCAGCCACCACTCTCTCTCTCCCCCTTGCCTCCTGGTGCTGCAGTTGCCAGGCAAGCAGCGTAGTGGAGTCAAACACCCCTTATACAAAAAACTCGAAATGGGGAAACTCAAACACTGCACCACCGGCGTGCCAGCCGCTTCGAAGGGGGCGCAGCACAATCAACACAATCAACACAATCAACACAATCAACACAATCAGCACGATCCTCTACATCAGCAACTAGGGTTCTTTGGCCTGCTGCCTAGCATTGCGTCTCTCGTATGGTCATGTTCGTGTATATGCGGTGTCTCCCTTTGTTTATTGGCGGGAAACAAGCTGCACGGGGAGGGGCCGTTTGCAACTGAGGCGGTTGCAGCCGCGGCACTAGCAGGAGCAGGAGGCTCCCGATGGCTGTTGCGCGGCACATATGAATTGAAGCTTGTTCACCACGACCGTCCCCAAAGAAGCTGCAGGAGCAGCCGCACTGCAGCGCATGCAGCCCTCTTTGTTCTTCTCCTCGGAATTCTGCTAGGGGCCTCTCTCGCCGTTGTGTCTTCTCTTGCTGCGGCTGCAAAGGGAGGGATTTCGCTGCGGTGCTCCGCAGCCGCTGCAACGGCTGCTGCAAGCGCCGCAGCGGCTCTGCATGGAATGCGAGCTTCCTTTCCATTGTATCTCCTCAGCAGCAGCAGCAGCGGCAGCAGCGCTCTGGCGTGCACTGACCAGCGGGGAGCTGCGTTCATCAGCGTCGCAGATCTCCTTCTTCGCTGCTTTGCATTGCACGGTTGCTGCTGGAGCTTGCTTGTGCTGGTACTGCCGCCGCTTCTGCCCAAGGCTTCCTTCTCGTCGAGTAATGCATGCGCCTTGGGAGGGCCTTTGGCAGTCACCCTCCTGCTGCTCTTGAGCGCCTTTGTCGTAATACAGGCATGCACTGCTGCGCGTTGCTGCTGCAGCGCTGCCGCTTACAACACGTGTGTTGCCCACAACGGTAACAGCAGATCGCTATGCGTTGCCGTGTCAGGCGCAGGGGGCGGCATCTGTCTCCTCGTTTGCCGTTTGCTGCTGCAGCGAGGATTCGCTGTTGTTGCTTGCTGCGCTTCGGCAGCAGATGCTGCGCGCACTGCCTCGCGGCTGCATCACGCCTCCGACTGCCCCCGAGCACACCAGCAGCAGCAGACAAGCAGTCCACAGCTCTTCCCAGACTTACCAGAAAACGGCTTCGACGGGGGAGGCGCCTTCAAGAATTGGTGCAGCCACTGCGGATTCGCTGTAGTCATATGGGATGTGCAAAGCAGCAGCGAGACAGAGGGGGCCCTGCGAGCAATCGAATGCATCGTTAGGAAGGTTTTAGGAGCTTCGAGGCTGTATGCTCTCGTATGCGGAGCCGGTGTATGGGCTTCATTTCCTCTGCAAGTCAGGATGCCTGCTGTTTTTGTTGTCGTTGTCTTTGTCGTTGCTGCTGTCGTTGCTTGGCTTGACGCGGCCTTTTTCCTGCTTGCTGGTGCTTCTGAGGTGGTGTGTAGATGCGAAGTTTTGCTGGGCTTGCACCAGTCCGCCTTTGCTTCGAACGTCGCAGTTGCCACGGATGCGAGCAGCCTCTGTGCAGGAGACTTTTTTACTGCATGCAGCTGCAGCTGCTGCCCGTATTTTTCCGCGTGGTGGGGTGGGGCGTGCGTGGCTGTTGCTCCAGGCGTTAGACCGTGAAGCGTGTCTCTCTGAAGCCTTGACGCAGCTCAAGGTAAATTTCTGCGGATTCCTCCGAGCCTCCCTAGCCTTGCTGCCCCTGCTGCAGGGACGTGCATCTGGCTGCGCTCCTGTGGATTCTGACGCTGCTCGCGTGAAGCCTTCCAGTGAAGCAGCAGCGGATGTCGTGGAAAGCCGCACTGCGGAGCCACCCGCATCCTCAGGAGGCCTCTGGGAGGCTCTCCTGGACTGTGCCGCCTCCTTATTCGGTTTTTCGCCTGCCCTTCCAAGCCGCATTGTTGTTCTTGGCTCCGCAGTCGCTGCTGCAGCGCCTCCCGGGCAGAGTGTATATGCAGCCACCAAGGCAGCAGTGGCAGCAGCCTGCAGAGGCCTCAGTGCTGAGCTAAGAGGCACTGGCGTGCGTGTCGTCAGCGTTGGTAAGCCGCGAATCACATGCAGGAATGCGGGGCCCTTCTCGCAAGCGCTGCAAGCACAAAGGAGTCGAGCGTTTCTCGTAGTGACGCGTGGAGCAGGTAGCTGAGTTGCCCTGACGCGTGGAGCAGGTAGCTGAGTTGCCCTGACGCGTGGAGCAGGTAGCTGAGTTGCCCTGACGCGTGGCTTGTTGCGACGTATCCAAACACACGCAGGTTTAGCGAGGGTGTGTGTGCTGCCGCTAGCAGAGGCGGTGAGGCCTAAGGGTGCTGCTGCTGTTGCTGTTGCTGCTGCTGCTGTTGCTGCTGCTTCGTATTGTCGGGTTTTCTCCCCTTTCGCTCTCTCTTTCTCTCTGTCACAACAACAACAACAACAGGATTTGGTGAAGAAGCACCAGCAGCTCTGCCAAATGTGGCGGTGGCTGCGGATGTGCGCGCCGCTGCAGAACCCGGAGCAGCGGCAACGGATCTATTTTCGCGTCGGCCTTTTTCAGCATGCAAAATGCCTTTTCAGAGAGGTTCTCAGCAGCAGCTGCTTGACAGGCAGTGTGGTAAGTCTTTCGTGCGCAGCTCATGGAGCAGCAGATGTAGAGCCGCCCCCTTGGTGGCCGTTGCAGGAGGAGGGCCTCTGTGGAAGCACGTTTTTATGCTCTGTTCTGTTGACGTTTCCGCAGATATCTTGCTGCATTTGGCGTCTCCTCCAGCAGTTGTTGCTGCCTCTGTCGTTGCTGCCGTCTCTGCAGCGAGCCCTCCCAGCACCGTCCGGTGCTGTTGGGATGTCGGCGTGTGGCTGCTGCTGCGGCACTGCGGCAGCAGTCTGAGGGATTTGCTACTCTACTGCCTGTTTGCTACGCGATGGCCTTCTTCAGCCGCACGGCTTGCTGCTGCCCTCGGGAGAAAGGCGCGGTGTGGGCTTCCTGAGGTGCTGCTGCAGCCCTTTTCTTCGCTGTCAGCGCACTAACGGCAGCATTCCCCTTTCCTCTTTGATACAGTGTCAGTCTCTCTATCCGGCCCGCTTTCGATCAGGCTCCTAACGCTGCGTGTCGCTGCCCTTTTTTCTACCCCCGAGGTGCCGCAAACTCGTGCGAGAACGTCCCAGAGAAAAGGGTCCCCTGGTGCACCTAGCTCTCTTCACTGCTCCGCCTTCGTGAGGCTCTGCGCCTCATGCGAAAGGCAGGAGGTAATAACCGCGTGAGCGTTTCCTCACGCGTTGGGATTCGTGGAAGTCGCTTTCTTGGGGGTGTACCGGGCAAGACGGCCCCTTGCCGAGTCTCTTATTCAGCTGTGCTCGCACAGGCCTACCAAAGCGCGAAGGCCATATTGCTTAGATGCCTCCAACATACAGGAGGGCTAGGAGTTGCCTTGTTTCACAATGCATAGCCATAGGCCTCTAGCGCCGTAATTCTGCTTGTAAAAATGCCACAAAATGTGCCGGCTGCGGCCGAATCTGCGGTCGTGTGGCTAGAAGAACTTGCCTAGTCTTGTCACCTATCCCGTGTTACGCTCTACAGCCATGTACTCCACTCCCTGCTAATGCAAAATAACGCAACAAATAAGGAGGAGGACACAGCATGAGGGATCTTTTGCGGGGCTCTTGTGGCGTGGTGGGTAGTGGGTGCCCAGCCGACCGACCACCGTGTGCGAGCCATCTCCTTGCTGGCTTGCACCTATTTCCTTTCTTCTCTCTGTGATCAGCCTAAAAGTAAGTTGTTTTTCTCAACAAGCTAGCAGAAACGCGATGTCATGCGAAAGGAGCAGCGGAATCCTCTAGCGTGCTCTCGAGACCGTGAGCAGCTGCTGCCGCCACTGGTGTCGTTCTACAGCAGCAGCGAGCCAGCTGCTTGTACTGCCGCGGCTTGTCGTAAGGTCTGCCTTTTTATCCACCAGAAATAGCAGCATAAAGAGCCGTTTATTGGTATTTTCCCCCTCATTCGTGCCATAAAGTTCGCATAAAACGCCAAGGTACGCCAATCACCCCTGAGCAGGCGCCCGAGAGGTTCGGCAGCGCCGTGAGGCCTCTTTATCCGCGGCTCCTCTAATGGCAATTCGCCATGCAGCTCAACATGCATGTAGCATTTCATCGCGCGTTGTGCTTGGGGCTCTTAACGGCTTCGCAGAGGCGTAATAAGCTCCACAGCATTTAAACGGCAAGTACGGCAGCTGTAGGGCACTCGAGATGCTGTTGTTCTTTCAGCAGTCAGAAACTGCCGAAAACGCCTTTTCGGTGTCTTTCTCATACTGGAAGAGAGGAGAGCCGCGGGTTTCAGCGGGCTGAAAGGGATTCATACACTTGTGGAGGGGTCGTGTCGTCGAAGGGGGTTCCGTGGGCCATAAGCAACGGGATGGCAACAAGCCCCCCTGGCAGCAAAGAGCCCTTGTTGAGAAAAATTCCTGCTTTTAGTGACTTAGCACCTCCACCGTGGCTTAAATTATGGGGCGAGACCTCTTTGCGGTGCACTCGCTCGCTCCCTAACACGCACGCACTCTCTACATGAGGCGCATCCATCGATCAGCACTACTGATAAATTTCGACTCGTCACCACCGCCTGTGTTTCTGCAGGCCTCTGATATTGCAGTGCTCTGCATACTGAGAAGGGCATTGGGCATTGAAACCTGCATATTTATTTGTTCAAAGAGCGAGGGAGAAGGGCCTTTGAAGGTAGAGCACCCCTTTAGACAAAGACAGGCTACTCTCTCCCGGAGCTGCACAGCGCTTCCCCCGCATCATCGCATCTTGCTTGTGCTCTGTCTGCTCAGGTCTGCACATCCACATACATCCACATATATCCCCATACATCCACCCCACCACCAACGCTCACGCATTCCTTAACCCCCAAGAGGATGAGCCCCCGCCGTCCTAAGAAGTCTCAGCGGCCTGAGGAACCCCCAGTGACGCCCACGCCACAGCCAACTCCTGTAGGAAGTCTTGAGGGGAATCTCAGCAGCAGCTCCTCGAGCGGCAGCTCCCCCACGGCTACTGCCGCCGCGTTAGCCGCGTTGGCGGCAGACCCTTCTCCTCAGCTAGCCATGTCCTCAAACGAGCCACAAGTACAGGCAGCACGCGAAACAGCTGCTGCCGAGCTCAAACCAGCAACCTCCGAGAAAAAGAAAGCCTCATCAGTTGCCTTGGAAGAAGCAGCCGAGACTGCGATGGCATCCGCAACACAAGGGGATGCAGCAAAGAGGCCTCCTGCAGAGGCTGACGACACCCCCAGGACCTTCAGCAGTGGCAAAGAACAGAGCGATTCAAAAACACCCCCCAGCAGTCTCTCCTCGCCACAGATGTCGCGGTCGTTTTCACGGGAGGCATCTCAGCCCCAATCGCCAAAGGCCGCCGAGCTTAAACCGAAGGTGCTCCTCCCCATACAGAGCAGGGACCCTCATGAGAGGCGCATGTCTAGTGCAGACGAAGTCGATACGGATGCTCGAATCCGGCTCCACACGCGTAAGGCTGCGTTCCTCCCCCGTCCATCCCCTGCTTTCCTCCCTGGCGGATGCTAGTGCCGCGACTGCCAGGGCTGCCTTGAGTCTTGGCAGCGTTAAACTGGTGCTGCTGCTTCCTGTCTTGCATCCATGACGCCTCCGCCATACCCTGTCCTCAAACACTGATTGTATACGAGGGCCCTTCTTACGCGGCGCTGCAGCGCAAGGCCCTGTGCCCATTGGCATCTGGGATTTGACCCGGTTCAAGTACTGGCACTACGACCACTATCAGGAGCTGAGAAGAGAGTGGCTTCTCCAAAGGGTGTGTAGCGCGCTACTTCACCCAATCTCGCGCTTCCTCTTCCTCTTTCTCACCCTCCCCTGCACCGCTTTTGTTGACGACCCTTTGTGCTGCGTCTCTTTTCCCCCTGGCCCCTGCCCCTTGCTCTGCGAGCCTGCTTGTGCCAAGCCACTTCGCATGCGTTTAGCGCCTTCAAGGGGGGCTTACACTTATTGGACATGGCCATACAAACTTTGCGCAGCAAAGGGCAGGGGAGGGACGCTGCCGGTGAGCTTGCTTGCCACAGGAGCCCCCTGTGGTGTCCTTTCTGTGCTGCTGCGTTACAGAAATCTCTGACTCCCGAGACGCGGCAGTTCGCCATTCCTCACTCGGGGGTGGACTACTTTTATCACAAGGCCCCCTTCTTGGCGCATACTGGGCCCCTGAGCCTCACGTCAATGACACCTCAGTGCATCCTCCCAACAGGAGACCGGCTGACCGCAGACACAGATATCAGGCGGCTCGTTAAGGACAAACTCCGGGAAAACGCAACCGCCGACGCAAACCTTACCAAATTATGCGTCCTCAGCTGTCTTTAATAAGCCTTACGGCCACGTAATCCGTCTAACAGGGGAACCTCCTAGCTCCACAGAAGCAGGGGTGCCTTTTCGTTTTTGCTGCTCTCCTTATTGACGGATACGCGCCCTGCTTACCCAGCACAGTAGGCATGCCCACGTGGTTGGCATGCATATTTTGCCAATGTGCGCAATTCCGTATTGGGTTTCTTTCCTGTGTATAGACACTTGCAGATGAAGCTTTGCTGGTTCTTGAGAACGGGGCTTTAGCCTTTTAGAATTTTTATATCGCTCCTACCCTCTTTTCGTTACAAGGACGAAGCCGCTCTAGCTGTATGCCCTTGCAGCTCATGCCGCTGCTAAGGGGAGCAGCAGCACAAGTTAATCCGACATTTTGCCACATGCAGCTTTAACACGAGTACCTGGGGAAATCTCTCCACCAGCACCACCGCGTAATGCACATTTACCAGTAGACGCTTGTGCAGTGGCCCCCTGGTAGAATTGAGAAGATTCCGACTGAGTAGACTCCCTTGGTTGAGATGGAAGCTACTTACTTGAACCGGGGTCAGATAGCCCCATGTGTTTGGGGAGTCCCTAGGGAACGCATGTATTAAGCCAGTTAAAGCGAGCGAAGCAAATAGCGGGCATCTGGGTGGGGAAAGAGACCAAAAGAAAGATACCGGAATGTACGGAGGGGTAAAAAGCATAAAATGAAGCAGGGAAGCAGACCGAAGACAGACAGGCAGTTGCCTGCACCAGCGGGACACACAGGAAGATCCACTTGTCTACTGGACGCCAAAAGAAGGTGAAAAGGTGGTTGTAGAGGTGGCGGAGCATAACCTTAAAAAAGAAGCCACGGAGTGCCTCTAAATAAAAGTCGAGTCTAGAATGGCTCGCTAGAGAATTTTCCTTAGAAAGAGAGGGCAGTGTGCTGCTGCGCTTGAGAGAAGGGCCCTCTTTCACCGTGCTTCACAGCCCTGGGCTTGTGCGGTATCTTGATAAGTTCATACTGCACCGTAACATGAATGGATGAATGCGTTCTACTTGTTTTTGACAGTCACTTTGTTGGAATGCCTTCCCAGAGGCCCGCGGCGCGGATGCCCTCGTCTTCCTTCCAATGCATTGTTGTTGCTTTGCCCCGGTCGTGAGAAAAGCACACGCAGTGAGGCACTCCTGCAACTTGTAGCCCCAGGTGGCAACTACGTAATACCGCATGAGGCCTCAAACATTCGCACGACTCTTTTTCGGTATCACAGACTCTCGCTGGCGAGTCATTGTGCCTTCTTTCGTGCAGGATGCTCAATGGCAACTGAAGGGCAGGAACCCTTGCGGACACCCCGCCCATAAAGGTGCGTACACAGTAGTTTGGTAATGACGACCCTGATCTAAGGGCACCTGGGACAAAAGCTTATAAAGGCGCATCTCACAAAGACAGGAGGATCGAGGTGGGATCGCAGCCTTTATTTCGTGCCTGTGCCTGGTCGTTTGCTCTCTGCGTTGTGCGTGTGCGCTAGATGCTATCTGCAATTGGCTGTGAACGCTTGGAGTGCTCAGCAGGTAGATCAACGTCCACTCGAGCAACTCCTCTCCCCTTTTGTCAGAAAGCAGAGGGGTGAGAGCATGGGCAGAGGCAAGTTATATTGGAAAGCACTCAATAACTTTCTTATAAGTTCTAGTTGGGCCTGGAGTTAAGTGTTGCCCAACAGAGATCTTCAGTGAAGCGATACAGCAGGTGGCACCGCATGGTTCGATTCAGCTGTAACCCGCTCATCCATTGGTTGCGGATGGACCGGGATGTCAGGCGTCCCTATAACAGTTGTCTGGCTGCAACCAATTTATTCGAAGTAGTAAGCCGGGTGTTTTGGGCAACACGCTAGGAAACGAAGTATTCTCTGGCGATCGAGCGTTAAAGGGCCTGTTGGGTTGGCGGAGGCTGCCCTGCAGGCTCGTTTGAACTCAGTGGTTTCAGTTTGACAGAAATGTATGACTAGTCAGCCGACACCTTGTTTATGGTTGCGTCTATAAGGAATAAATTATTGCACACCAGCAAAATATGACGGTTGTCAGGATGGGCAAGAATTCGAAAACTCAATTAGCCTTTTGAAGATATATTTCACTATTTTACCGCGCAGACGAAGAAAAACAAGTGTTGCTTGCGGCACGCTTATGAAGGGAGAAGCACTTGAAAGATGGCTGTGTTGATGTAGAGCAAGTCATCTGACTGCAAGGCCTGCTACGGCGTCAGCCTGCATAAAAGGCCTGACTCATTCGTTTGCGCCAATATCACCTCAAGAGCAAGCTTTTAAAATTTGAGAAGGCGGGAGCACGGAGGCCAAGTTATAAGCCTGTTTACCAAGAAATATGTAACTTTGGTTCGCAAAAAACGAAACGTGGACTAGCTGTTGGATTATTAGTAGCTAGTCCCGGAGCTACCTCGAAGTTTCACATCAAGTGAGCCCAGAAAGGGCAGAGACTTGACGAGAAAACAGCCGATCAGAGGGACTGCCAAATTTGAATAGACTGGTTGAGATATGAACGAATGAGCACAACGTCTGCGTCTCCAGCTAAATAGGAAGAGCCACCGATTCGGGCTCTGCAGGACTGTGCCCACATGCCCTATCTTGAAGCCTAAGATACACGAGAAAAGAAAGGCAAAAGAAGCCCACATTCTTTTTGCGGGCCCAAACAACCTTCGAAGAATGCATGTGCCTATACTGTGGGACAGGGTGTCATATAATCCAGAACTGCAAGCGCATGCAACAGGTCAAAAAGCTTGAACAAAGAAACTGGAACTAGCTGAAACAGGCCGGTTGGTAAGCAAAAAAGGTGCATCACCTGAAAGGCAAGCCCTCTGCGCTAGCTGCAAGGCAGTGAAGGGGCCTACTAAGGATTGAGACGCATTTGGAGACTCGCCACGGGTCAAATCAGCGTTGATACAAGTTCAAACACCTGACAAAGAATTGCTAGCGTCACTTGACATTGGATGTGAAGCGGGCCTGGTTAAGCATTGGAGGATACGGTGCAGATGTGCAGTCTACCTGCTCACCCTTGAGTACAGTCCCTAAGGCTTTACCTTGCTGACGGGCGGTAGATAACACGGATGGGCAGGGCTACGGTAGCTACATGTGACTGCAAATCAGAATCGAGTCTATCAGAATGGTCCGTGAGTCCTAATAATGTTGGACCAGTGCACTGTTATATAATCCTAGGTAAACTATTGCTGACCCAAAGGAAGGGGGGATGCGAGCACACCCAAGTGCTGTGGAGGTTAGTCTCCCACGAAGCCCCAGCAAGAGACTACTACTATCCTCAACGACTCTTCTTTCATCTATGGTCAGCCGGGTAGAGTGGGTGGCTCAATAAAGTTGTGCCGAGCCTTCATGATGGTGGCTCAGTAGTACAGCAACAGAGGGCGGTTTTGAACATACGCCCCGTTTTTGTGGGTCTGCGACAGGTTCTTTACCGGCAAACTCCATTAATCTTATTGCCGAGATACAGCGGGAATGGGCAAAGGTCGAAGGCGATCTCGTGAATGTGATAAATAAGGACGACCTGCAAACACGCTGGACACCTGCTGGTCTTCCGGCGCATCATATTGAGCTAATTCGTGGTTCAGCTCCAAGCTGTGTTTTGCGAAATCGAAAGCGCCCACAGAATAAAAAACATTTCAAGCGAGAGAAGAATGATTGATCGCACAAGGCTTTATGTAGGAAATCGACCAGCGCTTTTGGGCATAAGCGGGTTGTGGTATCAGAAAACGACGGAAGGTAACGCAAAGTGCTAGTTTCAAGACCTTGAACACGATTAGTATGCAGCAGTTGCTGCTGATGGATCGTACTGGCGAATCACACGACAAAATACACTGAGCAACATTCTGATACAGTCGATTTCACAGATGCCTTCCTACAAATCAACACACTCTAACTACCGGCAGAAAGCAACGTTCCACGTTCGCACCTCCAAATAAAAAATGCCTGTATCCCGTTTCGACTCATCAATGCTTTAGTAGACGGCAGTCTGCATGTAGAACATCTTTTTCTGCAGCCGAAGCGCACAAGAGTGCCGATTGGACCTACTGCATGCGCTGCAGCTGTTCCGGAATGAGTAAGGCTGTGGGTATGAGGATAGGCCCAAAGGTTCGTTTCTAATTAGGCCAATCATGTCTTTAGGACTTTTTGTTTCGCATGCACGAAATGACCAGATGCAGGAAAAGTTAAAAGCAACGACGGCTTGATCTCTGCATTAAAGGAACCAGAGGCATTGAAAAGTTCTTTGGACTACATCAAAGCCACAGTTTCATTCCTGGTTTAACACGGACCTTTTTCTGACTGTGATACTTCAGATCACACGGTCTGTGACCTGCACAGACAAGGCTGACGCCGCAGCAAGGACGCAGATCGGTCACGCTGCATCTCATCGAATACTTGCGCTAACGGATTATGGGCTTGATTTCTTCTTGACCCGCGATGCTGTTAGCGTATCAAAAGGTGTCCTTGTCTCCCGACGGGTTACGGGACCTCTAAAACACCGATGTATTGGTTATCCTCATCATTTCACTGAACCTCAACAGCCTATGTACTGCGGGAAAAGAACCTCTATGCAATGCGGTGGGCGTGAAAAATGCTGGCACGTTTTATGTGGACGTCACGTCATTGTACTCTTCAGCTCGACCACCAGTTTTTGATGACCTTGCGAAGAGATTTCAATGCTTTGATCAGCAAAGATCTGTTCACTGGATTGAGAGCCTCCTGCATACATCATGAAGGCATCCCCAGCGTTGTCACCCACGCGCTCTCTCATTGCTCCAGAGACTTACTATTGAGCAGCGCAACCACTCTTGTCTGAGAGGCTTCACGATGTCCATTCAAATCAAGCATGTCTTGTGCTTTTGACACCCATTCACCCGCTACTATTTTCAAAACCTAGAACAGCACAAAGGTAAAACACTGACACGTTGATGATGGCCTGCTGTGGTCACACACAAATCAATGGGTTCATCGTTTTTACATTTCGACTCCACTTTACAGTGCTGTTTTGTGCAACAAACACGATCATGTTTCTTTAGGCTGAGGGTACATTTACATCAGCTTACTAAAACTCTACCTGTTCCTTGGGTTGCCTGGGGTGCATCCTGCGGCAGAATTTTCCACTGTCTTGTCCGGATTCTAAGCAGCTTAAGCCACGACATGCTCCTAGATCCGGCCTTTTGCAAAGCCTCCAATATCTTGAAGGGATTCGGCTTATTTTGACTGAGGATTTGATAGTTAGAGTGCCGGATGTCAAGCGTCAGGAGAGCATCAACATCGTCGTGGACAACTCGGCAGACATGCCCATATTTATTGGGCGAGTTTTGAGCCGCATCAGAGCTGGGACCAGTAACTTTTGAGATATATATAAGCTTTCTAGAGTCTCCAGGAGCATCATAGCGGATAGGTATCCGAGGTTCCTTCGTGCTTTCTGGTGTGCATGTATGACCCGGCTGCACATTGACCATTGCGGGAGCACTGCTAACCACATTTAGTCAGCTGGGCAGATAGCGCACATCAACTGCACCCTTGTGCAGTATGCGTGGCTCTTCACTCACAAAAATATAGTTCCTTCACCTGGTCCTCTTCCTCGTGCTGAGAGGACTTATCATACAACAATACATTCGTTAACTCCTCGCTCTCTCGCTTCCCTTTTCTACGCTGGCAAGACGCTCTCCGTTTTTGGCCAATGCCTGGCGCTTCGTGGCTAGCAAATATCGGTAGCGGTGGAGGGACTCAGAGAAGAGGTGGCTAGGGCACGCGGCTGTATGCGCAATGTTCAGGAGAAACAAGCATGGAATTCTGATAGCCAGTGGTCGAGTGATTTTCGAGCCTGAAAATTGGTCTTGGTAAATCCATAGGCTTCACGAGATGCACCAGGTGGCCAGAAGAAGACGTTTGCGGGCAACTGGCTAGAACTACTTGCTACCATCTCACGAATCGATGCTCCTTCTTACCCTGTCGTTTGCCCTAAGAAAGGGGATTGGCGGTAAACTATCGATATTGCATTCCGTCAAATGCCTCAAAATCTGAATTATCCGCAAACTTTGCCGCGCAGGCAAGGGACCAGTGTCGAATCGGAGGATTCGCAGGGAACCGTACAAGGGCTGAATTCAAGGAGTACTGAGCCCCGAGGACACACAGTGGCTTTCAGTGACATAGAGTGAGGAACACCAACCTCAGTGCCCGATGATAAAGTAGGTGCAAACTGCTTTTGCCCCGCGGAGTATTTTACAATTTTGTTCTGTTATCAACGCCAGTCGCTAGGGATGGTGTGCCTCCAATCCTGATGATGTGTACTTCCGTAGCGCGGGCTCTGCTTGAAATAGCAACTATCCTCTCTGTGTATTGCTAATTCCTCGAGCGTTGTAAGGTATTCTTTACACTCGGTCTCATGTTCAGGCACTCTCGGATGGGTTTTTCACACATTCTTTCCTGGACTTCTATGGGGCTTCGGAGTCGATTACACTGCAGGTACGTGCTGTATTTGCATAGAGAGACTGGTCTATCAGGTGCGGCGGCACTAATAATTTAGTGTTAATTCTGATTTTCCTTATGTAGTATATTCTCATGCTTGATCCGAGTTGGAGGCTCACACTTTTTAGCTCGGCGACGACAATTTGCTACAGTGCTGCCGCAGTCGTGTTGATTTGGTCCCTCCTTCGGTGTTGCCTAGCAGACGTGCTTTTCGTCCCAGTGAACTCAATTCAGCGGTTGATGCACTCATCGATTTCCTCATGTTCACTGTTTCCGTGTTTCTGCGTGCCCAGGGAGCGGCTATGGGGCAGGAAAATTCCCGCTCTCCTGCACATAGTTGATCAACGATGGATTAATCAGCTCAAATGCTAGAGCGTTGCCTAGGTCCCGAACATAAGAGCGTGTGTTTTCATTCAAGTGCGCCACGATGTCCGGCTTCACAGACTTTTGAAACTACACGAGTTACATTTAGCTAAGAGTTAGTAACAAATTGACTCATTGGTTTGCTGGTTCGCACATCTGGCCGATTACAAATTAATGTTAGCTCGGTATATAAAAGCAATTAGTGTGTGTGCTTGTGCGTTAGGTGCTATCTGGAACTGACTATGAATGCGGGAAGTGCGTAGAGGCCGCAGCTCCACCCTAGCCATCCCTTTCCTTCCATGTCGAGGACCCAGAAGCGTAAGGGCAGAGGGGGTGAGGAGGTTCTTTATCAAATACTCAATAGCGTTTTTCTAAGGCTGTATCAAGCCTGGACCGGTGCGTCTAAACAGAGTGTCTCTCAAAATAAGCATTGTATTGTACAAGATTTTTGTTGCGGACCGGAGCTACTAAACTCTGAATGTTAATCCTAGGGGGCAGAAAGCTTTAACAAGATGAAGCGAGCCATTTGAATTTATGGACAGCATTACGAAGCTTCAAAAGAACTGGTCGATTCGAGTGAACGATACGTTGTGCACACTAGCAACTGGTGAGCGCGTGCGTCTCCTAGTGACTTTGCTAGTTTGACCATGAAGGCAACAGCTTCACAACCCGTATAAATTATTGGAATGGATAAATTTACAGCTTTTACTGGCTTTCGCCGCGGTAACATGCAGATTGAGTTCGATCAAGAGACACCGCCTCCTTTCGTCGCTGGCAATGCAACTTCAAGAACTTGGGCTCCGCCGCTGCATGCGCCAGGTGTAGGTTGTATCACACGCGGGCCTCTGCCCTTGGATACAGCGTAGTGGAGCGTTCCTAGCAAACAGAAGAAGCCGCAATAATCATAAATAGACATTTACAAAGCTTCGAATTCGAGCGATAAGGAACTTTAGACACGTAAGCGCAGCTGCACGAGAGAGCCCCCAACGTCCAGTGAAGCGGAGGCGCACCTCGGGCTGCTGCTGGTGCTGCTGCTGCCATGCGGCCGCTGTTGCTATGCGGCGTGCAGCGGGGCTGAGGGGTTGGCGGCTGTTGAACTAAAGTTAAGGACACACCAGCAGCAACAGCTTCTTAGCGCACAACCGAAGCTGTCTAGCAGCAGCGGCAGGAGCAGCGGCAGTAGCAGCCTCAGCGGGAACTGTTGTGGTACGGCTACTAGCACAGCACCAAGGTAGGCTAAGGGGCCCCCTTTCTTCATTTGTGTTTTGTACAGGGCCCCCATCTTTTGCGCCCTCTGTTTGCATCCTCGTTGGGGCAGCAGCAGAAGCGGCGCAGCACTGCCCTCCACATGTACTTCTTCCTCTGGCCCCTTGCGGGGAGACGGGCAGTAGCTCTTGGTTTTGCCGCAGCCTTCAGCTGATGCTGCTGTTTTCTTGAGCAGCAGCTTCAGCACACCGAAGGCTGCAGGGACCGTCTTGCCCTTGCTAGAGTGCCCCGCAGAGGCGGCGGGGGGCCCCCCACGGGAGAGGGCCCCCCATCACAACTGCGTGCACTTTAATATTGGTGGCCTTCATTTGCACTGCGGATTCTTCAGGAGGAGGGAGCGACTCCCCTGCAGCGCCTCCACCAGCAGCCACCCTGGCGAAGCGGCGGCAGCAGCCGCTGTACCGCCCTTTGCTGGCGAGAGCAGCTGCGGGCTTGGCAGTGTTTGAGAGGCACGTGTTGCAGCACATTATGGGATCAGACGGCGATTCGGATGCTGCTGCCGCTATGGGCGGCGACCATGCAGCAGGAGCAGCACTAGAGTCTCTGCTGCTGCATCAAGGGAGTGGCTCGTTCGAGAGGGAGGAGGAGGAGGAGCAGCAGCAGCAGCCACAGGAGCAGCAACTAGGCGATGAGCATAAAAGCAGAAGCAGCAGCAGGAGGCCCTCAGCTGCCTGCAGTGCAGGGGATGAGGACGAAGTATTTTACTCAGATCATGAGGGGCCCCCTGAGGAAGTTCAGCAGCAACAGCAGCCGCTGCAGGAACTGGAGCACCCCACAGAGTTGCAAGACTCAGGGGAGGCCGCTGATTGCCCAGATGAGGCTGATATAGAGCAGCAAGAGCAGCAGCAGGAGCAGCAGCAAGAGCAGCAGCAGGAGCAGCAGCAAGAGCAACAACGGCAGGGCAGCAGCACCACCATTATCAGTAAGCCAACGCAGCGCAACAGGGGCCCCTTCTGCGCGCGAGGCTTTAAGGCGCAAGTTAATGGGGTGCAGCTGTCTGAAGCAGATGCAGAGCAGGAGGAGGAGGAGATCGATGCGGCTGCAGCGGCAGCAAGTGCAACAAAGACGGGTGCCGCTGCCGCTACAACGCTGACACAGTTGGCTGCTGCGTGCGTCGAGAGCGATGAGGAGGGGGAGATTTCCGATGAAGACGAAAGCGAGACTCTCGAGGATGCAGAGCCTGAGGCAGCGGCGGCAGCAGCAGTTGCAACGGCAGCGGCGGCTGCAGCAGCAGGGCACAGCGGCAGCAATATCGTCGATCTTTTGAACGCTCCTCTCACTCTGAATGTTGCTGCGGCAGAAACTACTTTGCGGCAGACTTGCGGACCGGCTTTGGTGCACGTCGCAGCTTCCCCCTCTCTGGGGGGAGACGCACTGCAGATTTCACTGACTTTCAGCAACAGTCTCGCGGCAGCGGCTGCAGCGGCAGCACTCAACGGCCGAAAGGCGTGTCATAGGGTTCTTCGAGCTACCGTGTCGGAAGGTCCCTCCCGATCTGCAGGCAGCAGTAGAGCGACGTGCAGAGGCCTCCTCCTCCCCCACACGACGTCGCCTGCTGCTGCGGCAGCTGCAGCTGCAGCAGCTACAGCAGCTACAGCTGCCACAGCTGCTACGGCAGCCGCTACGGCAGCTGCAGCTCAGGGGACCTTCAGATCCCTCCCCTCACCGCTTCCAAGTCAGCAGAAACAGCCCCCCCCCCCACCTCCCACCGGTTCCGCGCTGCAAGGCAGCATGAAAGCCGTCCTTCGACCGCGACAGCAGAGTGCTCGAGGCGGCTTATTGCCATCACCTGCAGCAGCAGCAGTAGGCGCAGTCGGATCTGCAGGGAACCCCTCGGCTATAGGTGCGCCTGCAAGGGTGTGCCTCACGCCAAGGCAGGGGGAGCCGTGGGGGCACTCACCAGCGACTCCTGCAGTGCCTGCAAGTGCTGCTGCTCCTGTAGAGCAGGAAGTCGGTGCAGCTGCTGCTGCTGTCGATTTGCGGGGACGGCTGCAACGCGTCAGCCACTGGGCCGAGGGGCAGCCAATCGAAACGCAAATGGAAGACTTCAAACAGCTGCATGCACGATTTAGACACACAATTCGGTATGGGAGAACACAAGCACTTTTCTCACCACGACTCCGCATGCTGCTTGCTCGCTTTTGCTGCTTCTATGTGAAGTTGTTGGTGGTGCTCCTGCTGCTGTTGGTTTTTGCTTCTGCTTGCTCGCTAGTGCTGCTTCTATGTGTTGTTGGTGGTGCTCCTGCTGCTGCTGGTTTTGCTTCTGCTTGCTCGCTAGTGCTGCTTATGTGTGTTGTTGGTGGTGCTCCTGCTGCTGCTGGTTTTTGCTTCTGCTTGCTCGCTCTTGCTGCTTCTATGTGTTGTTGTTGTTCCTGCTGTCGTTTTTGCTCGCTATTTCTGCGCATGTGTAGTTTCTGCTGCCGCCGGGTCACTTCAGCTCTGTCATTGCTGCAGACGCGCTTGTGTGACTTTCCATTGGTGTGAACAGATACTTGCTACTGTCTAATCTGCCTCCCCGACTGCAGCAGCAGGAGGCCCTTTTAGAGTGGCACCGCCAAGTGGTAGAGCAGCCCTTGGAGGTTCATATTGAGCTGATTAAGCCTCATCAGGCGAAGCAGCAAGAAGAGGAAGAGGGTCAAAGTGCTGCTGTGGAGGCATCGGCGAATTCCGAGTCGGGCACTGCTGAGGCGGCGGCAGCGAAGACGCAAGGGAAGGCCGCTGGAGGCAAATCTGCATCGGGGCAGAAACACCGATCACAGCAGCAAGAGGAGGGGCCTCCTCCCGCTGCTGTTGCCTCTTGTGTTGCTGCAACAACAGACACGGTCGCGGCACAGGAAACAGACTCTCCAGAAGCGGCAGCAGGGGAGGCTGCAGAGAAGGAGGCAGCGGCATCGCAAGCTGGCAGTCAGGAGGCGAGCGCTGTCGGCGACACAAACACTGAGGCTGAAAGCGCAAGCGTAGAAGAAGTTGTGGAGGCAGCAGCAGAAGCAGCAGCAGAAGCAGCGGCAGAAATACCTGTGGAAGCAGCAGCAGAAACGGCATCACAGGGGGCAGATTGTGTTGTGGCGCACTTGACATACAAGACGAAGCACGCATGCGTGGGGGCTTTGCGGAAGCTGCAGCAGAATTCCGACGGAGTTGTTGTAGAGCCTGCAGGACCGCGCAAGCCTAATGCTGTGCTATGGGTTGGAAACTGCAGAGGTAAGAAGGGATATGAGCTACTGGGATAGGCTGGCAGATAGCCAGTCATGCAGACAACAGAAACACAGACACTAGAAAGAAAGACAGGGAGGCGGCAGAGAGAGATGATTTTCGTGGGCTGCCTTCTTCCGAGTTTTTCTGATATTCCTGTTGTTACTCTGTATAGTGTTACTGCTGCTGCCTTCGTGCATGCTTTAGAAATGCCGCTTTAAGGGAACCTCTCGCGCGAGGCACCGCTTTTCGTTTCCACCTCTCTTCGAGTCTACCAATATTCCTTTTTTGCCACGCGCTTTCTTTTATTCTCTGGTGAAGCGCGCATGTTTTAATCGGCGCGGCTCACGAGAGCCTTTGCGTGCATGAAAGTCTTTCGCAAGGGGTTCCTGTGTTTTGCGTTTTCCAGACTTGCGACCTCAACATCTGGCGGAAACACGCCGTCTTTTTGCGTCTTTCGGACCGCTGGACCGCTTTCAGTTTTTGCTGGAGAGAGGCTGCGGCTTCGTGCATTATTCGGATACACGAGATGCTGTCGAGGCACGAAATCATCTGCATGGCTATACCGTAGGGTGTGTTTGGGCCCTTTGTGCAGCTTTTGATGAGCCGCATGGGGTGTTGGCGTTGAACCCTGTTGCACTGCTTGCATGCTGCAGCGTTCGTTCCGTGTAGGGGGCAAGGTTGAGGCTCTCGGGAGGGCGGTTCGTCGGTTGGTGCGGATGGATTGTTTTCTGAGGAGGCAGGAACGTGTGTGCATGTATGCGGGCTGAAGAAGCCTCGCCTTCGCTGCTGGCGTTCTCTTTGCCTTTGCAGTATGCGCCAAGCTGTCAATGCTTCTTGCTTCTTGAGGCGTCTTCTGCACCCTTTCCCCCGTCTTCTGTCTCACGAGCTGGTGAGTCTGTCATGTGTGCTGCAGAGGCGTTTCGCTGAATGTTGACTTTTCTCCCTCGGGTCAGGCACTCTTCCAGACGAAGAAGGAGGCGCCTCAGAGGCCTCGAGAGGAGAGGCCTTATTCTCCTTCACCGCCTAAGCAGCAGCAGCAGCAGCAGCAGAGGGCGGGCCGGAGCCGACACAAGCAGCAGCAGCAGCAGTCAGCGCAGCAGCAGCAGCAGCAGCAGCAGCAGCCTCCGAAGATGCCTCCCATGCACGGGGTTCCGCTCCCCCTGCGCAGCGCCCCCATGGGGGCCCTGTTTGGGGGGGGGCCCCCTCCGTTGTTTGGCATGAGGCCGGGGGCCCCCCCTGGGGACCGTGCATTCGTGGAAATGGGATCGGGGGGAGCAGTGCCCTCGGGGCCTCTGCCGCTCCGTCGGGGTGTGTTGCCTTCGCCGGGGGGCCCCTCCATGTTGCGTCCGGGGGGGCCCCCCCCCCCGCCTCTGCTGTTGCAGAGGGAGCGCATGGAAAGATCGATGCGCTACGGGGATGAGGGGCTTCCGCCTCGCGTGCTGCCGCCTCCGCACGAGTTTGGCGTAGCTGCAGCACCTGGGGGGCCCCCCTTCGACCTTCCCCCCGGACGGCGGGATCTGTGGGGCCGCAGGGGGCCCCCTATCTACGTGCAGCAGCAGCAGCCTCGAAGGGGGGCCTTTCACCCCGAGGATTTGGAGGGCCCTTACGGGGGCCCCTACGGCCCTCTGGAGGGGAGGGAGCGGGAGCAGTGGCATAGGCAGCCGTCAGAGGCCTCTCCCGCAGCGGCGAGGGAGAGACGCGAGGGTGGAAGCGGCAGCGGCGAAGGGAATGCAGACACCTCCTATCGTGGCGGCAGCTCCAACAATGCAGCAACGAGTGACTTGCTCTCGCTTCTGCGGCAGCGACTGATGAGTGGCTCTGGGGGGGGGAGCGCTCCTACGACCACGGGGGCCCCCAAGGATGAAGGAGGGGGGGACGGCAAGCGGGGTGGCTCGACTGCAGCAGGAGGAGGGGCAGCGCTCGAGAAGGAAAGCGACGGAAAGGATCCGCTGCTGCAGCTGCTGCAGTGCAAGCCAGAGCTGCTGGATCACATGCTGCTGGATCTGGCGCGGGAGCGGCTGCAGAGGCAGCTTGCAAGGGGGCACACCAAGGGACGGGGGGGGCCCCCGGAGGGGGCCGTTTCAGCTTCGCGTTCTGCCTCGACGGAGGATCGCCGGGGTAACTCTCACGGAGGCGAGGGAGTCTCAAAGGAGGGCCCTCCGAGAAGCAGCAGCAAACATCGCGCCACACCTCGCAGCAGTCGGAGTCGCAGCGCTTCAAGGACGGAACGAAGGCTGCGCGGGGGGAGGCGACACAGAAGCACCAGCAGCGGCTCGGGGGCCTCTTCTCAGAGGGAGCGAGGCCCCTCAGAAGAGAGCCTTCATCACCCCCATCAGCTGCCGCAGCGGCACGACAGGAGGGGGAGAATTCCGGCGGGCCCTACTCCGCAGCAGCATGCTGGGGGTCAGTTCGGCGTCTCTTGCTGCTGGCTGTTCCCTACTATACAACTGTCTGTACCAATCCTTACGTATATCTATTTATACATATACCCCGTGGCTTGGGCATCTCCTTCGCAGTCCTCACCTTTTATCAGTCCGCGGGGTTTTTGCGCCACTAAAACGGGGGGGCCCTATTGGGGCCCCCCCCTCTGTGTGTGTATATGTCTACATATATGTGTTCATGTGGGTGTGTATGTGTATATATATGTGTTTATGTGGGTGTGTATGTGTGTCTGCTTCTCGGGGGTCTCGCTGTACTTTTTATACATATCTATATATATATACATATCTATATATATATATAAACATCTATATGTGTATATCTACACCTATATATATTTTATATATATATATGTACATATATATTATATATATACATCTCTATATCATATATACATAGAGACGTTCTTGTTTTCTCTGTATCTCTCTCTCGTGACCGTTTGGTGCCTTCTGCGCAGGTATGCGGACGGATGGGTGGGCAGATGTACGAGCGGAGCCGTGGGGAGGCGTGGACGCCTCAAGAGACTCGAAGAGACGGCGAATCGGTGGAGGGGGCGTGCATGGGGGGAGCAGCAGCTCTGCTGCTGGCCCTTCTATGGTTCCCTTGCCTCGGGGGTGCTCCCCGGGGGGGGTTCCTCCTGGTGGGAGACGAGGGCACGGCCTCCCTCCATCGGGAGGAATGAGTGGCAGCGGAGTCGGAGGGGCAAGCCGTGGCGGCTGGATTCCTGCGGAGGGAGACTATGAGTACGAGAGTCGTTGCTCGGGGGGCCGTGTGGACAGGGAGTTGCTGCTCGTTTGCCGCGTCTCGAAGCAGGGGCAGCATCTCTGCAGCATGAGTGCTAAATTTGTGATGGGAGACCCTTCTTTGCAGCCGTACGATGCTCTTGACCACATTTTCCCTTAACGCGTGTAATCAGATTGTCTGCGCAGAGAAGGGGGGGGAGGGAGGTGGGGGGAGCTACTACTGCCGCTGATGTGCTGATCTCTGTGCTGATGTGCTGATCTCTATGCTGATGTGCTGATCTCTATGCTGATGTGCTGATCTCTATGCTGATGTGCTGATCTCTATGCTGATGTGCTGATCTCTATGCTGATGTGCTGATCTCTATGCTGATGTGCTGATCTCTATGCTGCTGCGTGGGGGCCTCCCTACATCCTCCTTTTTGCGCGCGCGGGTGGGAATTTCCGGTTTGTTGGGGTTTGGATGTTTGACTGCGCCTTAGGCCTACGCGGCTGGACGTGAATCAGCGAGCAAATCTTGAGCGTCTCCAGTCCAATCTGCTTCGTGGGCCCTCCCGAAGCCACGACAGCGGCAGCTCACCAGCGGCAGTTGGCAAGGGCACCGGCGGAGGCGCACGCTTTTCAGCCTGGCAGATGGGGGCCGATTCAGCTGCAGACAGCAGACACTATGACGCCTTGTGCGATTATTTCATCGAGAAGCAACGACTTGGACTCCTGGAAGATAGTCGGACCGCCATCTACATGGTGCCTCCCAATCCGAAATATATCAGGCCTCTTGGGGTAAGCTGCGCGGCCGCATTGAGGGATAGGGGGCAAGAAAGACAGGAAAAAGGGCAGAGCTGAAGGCTCGGGAGGGAGCGAAACACCGTCAGGACGAGAGAGAGAAGCAGAGAGAGAGAGGGCGCACAGAATTGATTTGCTGCTGTATGCTGTCTACATATATTTATGCTGTATATATGTTCATATATATGTATGCTATATGGGTCTATACATGTATATATATATGCTATACATGTGCATGTACATAAAGACATAGAGAGGCTAGTGGAGATGGCAGCGGGTTGCAGCACACAAGGTGCTTTTGAGTCACCACAAAAGGGATCGGGGGACCACCGTTGTCATATAAAACAGAATAGCAGCACCCATAGCTCGAGCAACCGCTATACATATATATGTGTGTGTGTCTGGAGTGACTGGGAGAGGCGATTGTGAGTGGTTTTGCTGACATCTGCGTGCCTCTTTAATTACTCTCTTGTGGTTTTGTTTGTTTGTTTGTGTGTTTGCAGCTGCCGGATGCCAACTTCATGTATGCGTTCGTTATAGCGAAGGGCCGTGAGGCTCGCGGAGAGCGCAACTGGGCAAGGTCGCCGCCTCGTCCACAGCCCGACAGATAGCATTCGAGTGGCTCTCTGATAAATACATCACGCTGTTGTGCAAAATTGGCAGCAGTGGCAGGATTTGTTGGGATTTTCCTGAGCGGCGTTGGCTGCGAAGTCCTACGGCGTGCGCCTGTTGGTGCTAGCTCTCTCTCTCCCCTGCTCCTCCCCTGTGGATTATGTGATTTCGGCTGCAGCAAGCATTGCCTGGGTTGTCTTGCTGCAAATATTTGCGAGGCCAGGACCCTCCCTTATCGCGTGTTTACGAGGTGCCTCCAGGAAGACACCCCAGTTGGGGTGAACATGCGCACGATTTGCAAGAGCTTTACTCTTTTAGTGGCTCGCAATACCTGTTTCCCCCCCACCGTTTCCCCTTATCCCCATCCTTTCTATATATATTTGCTGCTTCCAACTAGGTGGCGACGCGCTTCAAACAGTGTAGAGTATAAGGGGGCAGGGTGGAAGCGCGGGGGGGCGGGGGCGCAGGAGTGCTCTGGAGCACGTGCTTAAAATGTCTGCATACCTACGACTTGGCCAGGAGGGGGGTGGAGCCATCTGGCTCTCGTGGAGGGGTGCGCACGCAGCATCTCCATATGGGAGAGTAACCAGCGTGCAGAGTACACACCATAGCACCCCGGGGGGCAGCCGTAGCGAGAAGGCAGGGGTTTTCACGCATATGGCATGCCGCCTCCAGAGCAAGAAAAGATCAAAGTGCCGTACCAGGGCTCGAGATAGGCGGAATAGGAAGGGGTGGGGGGGAAGCGCCTCTCAGCGTTGCGCGCAGCCTCCACAGCTAGCTAGAGTATGGTGATCTGCTAGGAGTGACTCCGATAGCCTCCGATTCCCCTTGTTCTAGGACGCGCGACCGCTGTCCACTTGGACGGGCAGTTTTATGCTGTTTTCCATGGGCGTGGACAGGACGACCCCCTAAAGTTTATCCCAGGCGCGCGAGGAATGCGGATTTTTCGCAATGTTGCTACTTCTCCCTCAGGGGGTTTGTTGGTTCCTCCATGAGGAGGTTGCAAGAGCACATGTGCCACGAGAGCTCCCGGAGTGTCTACCTTCAGCAGACCTTTGGAGCTTGAGGAGGTCAAGTAGGAGCGCTACCCAGCCGGGGCGAAGTATGCGGCGCGGCCTGTGGTGCTCGCATAGGTTTCGCTACGTGAAACCAGAGCCTTAGTCGACATAGTACCCTGATTAATGCATTACTAATTGTTGGTAGTGTAGAAATTGTATTGTTTATGAGCGAAATCTTATTTTTCGCGCAACACCGTCGTCTGCCACTGCCCAACGAATCCCGTGTTGTTGGAGCAACCCCCCCCGTTCACCACCCACCGGCGCCCTCGTGCCAGTGCCTCCGCTACCAAGACGCAAATTCGAGGGACTCTTTGGGCCTTTTTAATATCTATAGCAGCTCGTAAGCTACCCGGCAGAACCTGGTCGGCTCCCCTTTCGGAACCTGGCCCCTCTCCATGTCAGCGTTGGCGAAGGGGCCCTCCGCCGGCTATTCGACTATGAAATTCTCCTTCCCGCAGCCCTCCTTACAAACTCTTCCTTTCCCATGAGACCAAAGCTCTGCATTGCCCCACAAAGCAGCGTGTTTTCTATCTCATGCCCGGGAGTTCACAAGCACCCCGCTGACACATCTCCTGCCCACCCAGCCCACGCGGCTGCGGCTAATGCGGCAGCTGCTGGGAGCTCTCTCTGAGCCTCGAACAGCCGCAGCGTTGCCGTCTTTTGGATGCCTCACGCGTCTTGGAGCAGCCACAGCCTCGGAGAAGACGACGTACCATGTGGCCGCTCTCGGCGGGGGCCCCTCCCCAGCAGCTCCGGGGGCCCTTGCAGACAGAGGGCACGCTGCAGACTCTTTCCTGGAGAAGGGCAGGCGTTTCTCAGCACCTCCAGCAAGACGTGGAGCAATCGCATCATTCCCAACGGCAGCAAGACGGCGTCCAGGGAAGCGTCTGTTGCTGCGGGCGCCTCCTTGCTGCTGCGTTCGAGGTTGCTGCCCCTGCTAGCCGATGCTTTGCCATGGAAGAAGTAGACTGCACTGTGGCTCTCATGCAGGAGCAGCAGCAACATCACACGCGGCGGATGCTGCTCCATAGCTGCAGCAGCAGCAGCGGCATCACCCCCGCCTCCACAACACAACCACAAGCGTCCCCCCTCTCTTTCTGCAACTCCGCATGCTGCCCCGATAGCAAAATGAGCCTGTTCTCTCTAGAAGGGGCCCCTTGGGGGCCCTACAGCTACGCGGGGGCCCCCAGGCTCTCACCTTGCGACCAGGCAACCGCATCTGGCACAGCTCCTTGGCCGTCCCCTGCACGCAGTCTTCGAAAGCCGTGAGCTTCACACTTGCGCGCAGTAGTGGCTATACTCCGTCTCTGCCCTTCTCGGAGCACTAGACTGTGTGCTGCTCCCGCAGACGGCCTCCTCCTCCCGCGGCTCGACGCTATAGGCCCTCCAACCCGACTCCCCTCGGTGCATCTGCCGTTTTTCCTTCTCTGCGTCTGCATGCAAATGTGGCTGCAGGGCCCCCAAGGCTCCCTTGGCGACTCTCCTGTCCACAGTGGGGGCCCTGCACAGCGGAAATCGAGGCTGGGGCAGGGGCCCCCTGCGCTCGTTGGACCTTCCCGAGGCTCTCAGACACCGACACCTGAGCCAACCCATGCACTGGGGACTGCACAGCCATCGGTTTGCTGCTGCACTGCTGTCTACAGTATATACAGCCAACACCGACAGCACCTGCGCTCCTATCTGCGAGCCTCAGGCGCTCTGGCCCCCAGACGAGCATGCGATGCAGCCTCAGCCGCACCTGCTGCAGCACATGCTGGTGGATCGACGCGATTCGAGAGCCAGCGATCCTGCCAGCTTCGCGCGTTCCCTAAGAGTCTCTGAGGCGCCTTCACAGGAGGGGGGCATGGCGCCCGTAGTCCCTTTGTCTCCAAGAGGAGGCGGAGGAACCCGGGGGGCCCTCCCTCCTTCTCGCACGGGTGAAGTGCCAGGGGCCCCCCCCCCCTCGCAGGCAACGGCGAGCACCGAGGGCAGTCGCAACGTCTCATGCGTTCAATTCGCTACTGTAAACGAGGCGGTGCTCGCTCTGGGGTTCGAGTCGGGAGCGCTAGAATTCTGGCTCCTCCCACTCCCTCCGGGGGAGGGCCCTCCCCAGGAAGGGGAGGGGGCCCCCCAGGAAGGGGCCTGCACCCCTGCGTGCCGCTGTGTAGCCGACACGAGCTCAGAACCCCCCGACGGCGCCGCCTTGGGGAGCGCTGAAGAAGACCACAGCAGCCTATTGAAGGCTCTCCACACGCTTCACGAGCAGAAGCAGCATTTGCAGCAGCAGCAGTCGCAGCAGCATCTGTGCAGCACCTGGGAAGGTGCATTACGAGGCTCTCCCGAGGTGACAGCCTTGGCTTGGCATCCCCATGAATTGCTGCTGGCTGCTGCCTATGCGGATGGCCGCATCGCGCTGTGGAAACTGGAGACACAGGAACTGAGTATGAACTCTCCTGCGTCTCCGACGGCAGGCGGAGACGCAGGGGAGGCCTGCGTGACTGTGCATCGCATGCACACGTTTCTCTTTGCGTGCCCTGTACCAGAGCCCTCTGCATCTGTGCAGGAGGTTCTGGGGGCCCCCTGGACAGATGCAGAGGGCCCCTCCCCCGCAGCCGCAGCCGACGTGCTGTTACACTCCCCCACCTCTTTGGTGTGGGGTCCTGAGGGGGAATGCCTCGTCGTCGGAAGCAGGGAGGGAGCACTTCTCTTATGGTCTTTAGGGGCTTTGCGGCAATACCAGCGGGCGGCTGCACTCTTGGAGGCCGGGGGGGGGGCCCCCTTGAGGGGCCCCTCCGGCCGAAGGCTGATGGTGCCGCCTTCAGGAAATCCAGCGTTTCTCCTCAAGAAAGATGCCTTCTCTTCCGCTGAGAAAGTGGCAGCGCTCAGTTCTGAGGGTTCTCTGTCTCTGCACGACAGCGTTCCCAGAATCCGAGGAGGTTCTTCTCTCAAGACTCTCAGCAACGCCTCCACACAACCCTCCAGTGCCTCGCCTCCAGACACGCCAGTGGGTAGAGACGCAGGACTAACGACTCCAGGCCCCCAGCAGCAACAGCCACAGCAAAAGCAGCAGCAGCAGCAGCAGTGTAAGACGCAGGAGAAGATTCCTTCAGCCGTAGGAGAAGATCCCCCTCCCTGGGGGTCCCCTAGTGCCACAGCGCCTGTACCCCAAATCTGCGAACCCTTTGAAGGGACAGGTTCCACTCAGTGGCTGGCTCCTCCTACGGAGCCAGACGACTCGAGATGCTTGAGGGATGCCCACAGTCGGCTGTTGCAGAGGTTCTTGCCGCATTTTGGGGGCCCTCGGGTGCAGCTTCACGTACCGGAGGAGACCCCTAGCTGCCCCCTGCGGCGAAGGCATCCAGAGTCCTCTGCTGCTAGGGGGCCCTCTATATCGGGGGTTTGGCTGCTGGGGATCTCTTCAGTTATTCGGGAGGCTCATGGCGGGAAAGTTCGTTGCCTCTCGTTTTGCGTTCACGACTCCAGGGTGCTGCTCTCAGCAGGCGACACTGCGGCAGGAGCAGCGGGGAGTAGAGGCCTTCTGTTGCCTATGCCCGCTTGCGGCAGCAGCAAGCTGAAGCTTTGGTTTCAAGACTCCGAAGCCATACAACCGTTCCCCATCCTCGAGATCTTTCTAGAGGGCCTCGTAAGTCGTTTTCCTTAGTGATACATCCCTTAGACCGCCTGAAGGCATGACACCAGAGCCGCAGGAGCCGTCCTGCGACTCTGGTATCATGCCTTCAGACAAGAAACAGACAGTGCGTGGGACCGTGAGACGTGCAGAGCTTCTTCTCTCTCTGGAGTTGACTTCATATGTGCGCTCCTGGGGCTTACTCTCAGGTCACGTCAATGCTGTGGAGCAGACTTACTGGGGAGTTGCTGCTCGCGCACAGCTGGAGGAGGCCCTGCGGAGCGTCCTATGCGCCGCCTGTAGGGGCCCTTAAGAACGGTAAGGGCCCAGGAAACGGTGGACGTGGAGGTGTCACTGTATGGTGCTATCTGGGGGATGGGGGAAAGAGTCTCTTAGAGAGGCAGCCGCGAGAGCACCAGCAACTCGACGGCGTCGGGGGTAAACGCAGAGAGGAGACGACCAGGGGGCCCCCGGCTTCCTGGGCGCCATCAGGGGGTTCTGCCGTGTATGGAGACTGTGCGGCACTGCTTCAGCCGCTGTTGCTGAAGATTGGGGGCTTTGGGGAAAGGCCAGTCATGCGCGAAAGCAGCAACACTGACAGCAACACGCGAACCCCGACACCAGATGCTGCAGCCTCGACAGGAGCCTCAACGTCCAGTGGGGGCCCCCCCGGAGGCGCCTCTCTGTCTCCTCCCTTTTATAGCGGAGGGCCTCGCAGCAGGCCCGGTCCGCATGCAGTATCGTCATACCCTACTTTTAACGCCTCCCACTGGGGAGCTCCTGGGGGAGGCTTCTTGCTCCCTGAGGTTCTGACGGATTCCCCGCGCCGCTCTTCCTGGGAGCTACCAGGGAGCCAGACGGCAACGCCAGAAGACGCAGCAGCAGCACATCAGGGAGGCTGCTACGCCAAGACCGATAATGCATCAAGCCTGGTGCAAAGCGCAGATGGGCGAGCCGTAGCCTACTGGTCTCTTCCAGCCGAGACAATAGCCGTTTGGGCATTGAGCCCGCCTAAAGGAGCATCTAGGTGGGGGCCCTTCTCGACTCTTCAGGGCCCCACTGCTCTGCGGCGGCCTTTCGCTGAGGGCCCCTCGAATCTTTGGCAAGGGGGGCAATTAGAAGACTGGTCCAGCCACCCAGCACCCCTCTGAGGGCTTCTCTGCGTAGCCTGCCGCTTTCGTAGCTCTAAGAGACGTTTGATCTCAGCACGAGTTTTTCCCGTTACGTACACGAAAGGCAGAGTCAATCGCACCGCATGCAGCTTGGATAAGGTCAGCACAGCCGGACAGAGCCCAACACGTCGGCACTTCGCCTGCCCTTCGCTCTTGAATACACATCTACCTGCTTCCTTGTACCACGTTTGTGCCCGAATAGTTGCGGCATCCGAAACAATGCCCCTATAGGGTCTCCATAGGGCGACACTTGACTCTAGCGTCAATAGAAACATGGTACACAGGGGTGGAGTGGGTTTTCAAAGGGTTTCCCCTCTTGCACGCTTGTTAGGGTTCCTCCAGGAGTATAGAGGGAAAGTAAGGCTCAGCGTAGCTGCATTTTCTATCCACTTAAATGATGATTTACAGCTGGTTGCACAGAGCATCCAACGCTCCAGCACATGACACTGCGTCTTGTCGCGAGAAAGAAGTAGTACGCCCCAATAAATTACAAATGTGAGCAGACACCACTTGGTCACATGTTCACAGTAGCTCGTTAGATATAATCAGCACAGTAGAACCTGTTTGCATGTAGCTTCACCGGGTCCCTTGAGTGAGCAAGGGATGGTCCTCGTATCGACGCAGACGGTAGAGCGGTGTATACTGCACTAACGCAGGTTCTACCCTACTAGTTGTCTGCGCCTAAGAATGGTTGCGGAATTCGCCAATTGATTGGTCTGTTCGCAAATCCTTTTTTACAGGGTTGTACTGTTAGCTCGATACAAGAAGACCCAATGTCGTGTGTATTGGCGCAAGATATTTGTGCAGCTAGCGTGAATGCTCGGACTGCTTGGAGGTTGCAGCAGCGCGCACCCTAGCTAAGCGTGAAGAAATCCGAAGGGTCGTGGGTAGGGAATGGAAAAGTGAGCTCTTTTAAGAGAACATAGACTTACTTCCCTCTTATTGCTTTGTGTATTGGGCTTGACGAGAAAAAGTCTCCTTGCGCATACCTTTGGTGGAGCGCAACACGAACTGTAGAGACGTAATTGACTGCGTGACAAAAGAGCCTCCGTCTTTGCTTGCTTGCAATTTTCAGAGTAAGGGGCAGCCAGAGTGCGCTTAGCTCCTTGCTCTGGACACTTTGAGTATTCCCAAGGCGTAGCAGTACCTAGCTTTTAGTGTGCAGGTCCATTACATTGGTCCTTGTTGCATTGCGCTAACTCCACTCTCGATTGTAATATTGGATGTGAAGAAACAAATTAAGCATTTGATTCTTTTCTAAAACAGAATCACGTGTGTGTGTGTAGCGCTAGTACAGTAAAGAAGGGCCGATCTTTAGCTTACCCCGCTTGACTAGAGTGTCTTTCCAATGGTGATGCTAGTTCCACCAGTCAGAGCGTCATGAAGGAAACTGCATGATGTGGCATGTGTGTACAAGTCTGATAAAGTCCCTTAGGCTTGTTGTACCGAAGCAGCACGCCACTAGGCACACCGCCGAACATTTTTCTGCCTTCTACATTAGCCATTGAGCAACATCCCCGACTACCGCGCTGGTTGCCTTCCTGATACTCTGTGCTGTAGCAGAAGTAGCAGCAAGACGCACTCATTGCAGCATACACATGGCCGGCAAGAGCCCGTCCAGCAAGGAGATCGCAGAGGGCTATCCAAGGGCGCTCGCAAAGCGTCGACCCTCATGACTCGAATCACTCTAGGCTTAGCCAGACGCATATTTGTAGAAACGTAAGCCTCCCCGATTACTGCGCCCACAGCAAGAGCAATAACAGCAAAGGCGATATATGCGCAAGCGCACCAGCAGCCTCTATAGGCGCGCAGAAGGATGTCTTTGGACTTCTCCCGAGACTTCACGACACACAAAGAAAAAAAATTACCTGTCAAATAGATGTAAGCGACGTGTGTGTTATTTGCCGGAATTCATTTGCACACAGTCCAGGTGCAGAGCATCCGTGGGAGCGAATGTGGACGTACCAGTGCCAGTGGCTTTCTCGCGAGCTACCGATTCTGTGCCTTGCCATTCAATTAAGCAACGCTCGCAGATTCCTAAAAAGTTTAAGCTAATAATTCGAAGCTTCATTAAACTTATACACCAAACGCGAGCAGCCTACAAAGCTCCCCTACCCGGAAACAGAGTTCTACCTCTCCCGGCGTCATCCCTTGCCCGCAAGCACCCAGCACCGTGTGTCTCTTCGCTTCCATCTACGCGGATGCCCTTACACCCTGTGCCTCAACAATACCCCTAACAAAAGGAGGTGCAGTGTCTACTCTTCTAGACCGCAGCAGAAGCGCCTGCTGCCTTTGCACGTGCACCCTCCTGTGACATTGAAGAGTTTTCGAAAACGGCGCAAGCCGAACCGGCGGAAAACACGCTTTCAGAGAGCGCAGCTTTTTGGCCTCCCGCATGGGAAAAGTACTACCCGTGTAATTGCCTGTAGGAGCACCAGCCTGCCAGCCGAGAGGATTTTAGGTGTCTATGTGTGTGCATGTATGTGAATCAATCTATGCAGCACATTCATTCATACATACATACTTACCTGTATACACACATATACATACGTATACATATATATACACATTCGTATATATATATATATACGGTTAGGCATCTCCGGCTCCTAGGGAAGAAAGACGCAGCAGCAGCAGCACCAGCATCAATAGGTGCTGCCAATCAGCGATTGGAGGAGGCGGCAGGAGTGACGGGCAGTACAGCCTCAGGAGGAGTGCTGCAGCAGCGGGAAGGAACAGGGATGCCACCCCACCCCACAGGGACTGCTGCTGCGTCCCTTCGATGAGCACAGCAGATCTCCTGCCTGTGATGCAGCAGCAAAAGGAGGGGGAGCCATGGGGGGGGGGAGCTCTGCAAAAGCGTTTGCTGCAAGACTTGCTGCGGCGGTACGTCATTGTAGGGCCTCATTTTAGCAGCAGGACGGCGCAGCAATGGCGGATCTCGCATCGCGTTTTGGCCATTCCTAGCTTTCTCTTGAGCGAGGATACTCAAAGCAGTGGAAGTCACACGCTTCTGCTGCAGGTAGTTGCTTCCCCGGGGTACGAACAGGATCTCGAGCAGCCTCACAAAGAGCGATGGCGGCTTCTCCCCGTGGCTTCGGGTGTCTACGCACCCCAAGCTCCTTTGTGGGGTTGTTGCAGCTGTTTCCGACAAGCTCTCTCAGGAGCAGAGACTCGCGGCGCTCCTCCTGCTGCAGAGCCGAGCACCCATCAGCGGGAGGCGGATGCAGCAGCCCCGGCAGTAGCGCCAGCGTCGCAAGTGCTGGACGTCCACGCAGTTCCTTCGCCGTGCACCAGTGCAGCAGAAGCAGCAGCAGCAACGCGTGCAGCAGAAGCAGCAGCAGCAACAACGGCAGGAGCAGCAAAAGACGCCTCCGAGTCGCCACCTTCTGAAATAGGCTCCTTGCAACTGCCTTCGCAGCAGCAGCAGCAGCTGTATGTACACTGGGGCTTTACTGCGGCGGATGGACGCAGCTGGAGAGAGCCTCCTGCGGCTTGTGCCTTCCCGAATTGCGTGCGCGTCGCCAACAAAGCGGCGCTGCAGTCGCCGATGTACCTCTGCAGCTGCTGCTGCTGTTTCTGCTGCTCAGCTCTCCTGCTTTCCAGCAGATGCAGTAGGCCCTCGATGCGCAGCGTGAGCGACGAGGTGCTTTCGGGGGGGCACTGCAGCTGCTGTTTGGCTTGCAGCAGCTGCAACAGCACTGGCAGCAGTGCGTCTGCTGCACCCTCCACTGCAGCCCTGCCGGAGCATGCGGCTAGCAGCGGCATCTTAGCGCAAGAAGACGTCAGCAGCAAGAGCAGCGGTAAAAGCAGCAAGAGCACCACAGACGACGAGTGCTGCGGCAACAGCAGCAACAGCTGCAGACATGCAACTAGGGGCCCGGTGTACTGCGCGTTTGTGCGACTCGGCTGCCCAGTGTGGATAACCTCGAATCGTATTCTCAGAAGCGGGGAGAAGACGCAGCCTCAAGAGTCTCAACGGAAGGCGATCGAGTTTGTTCTTCACAGCGCAGTTCATGGGTGGCTGAAGACGGAAACGAATTGCAACTACTCCGTGGACTGCGTTGCAGCGGCGGCGGCTGCAGAGGCCGCTGCGCTGCAGCAGGCTGCTCTGCTGCTGATACGCATGCAGCAGCAACAG